CTGCTCATTTACTTACTGAAATATTTTCCTATTAAAAGTTGTTACACAGGGGCGCCTGGGTGGTTTAGTTGGTTAAGCATCTGACTCTTGATCTTAACTCAGGTCTTGATTTCAGGGTCCTGAGTTCAAGCCCTGTGTCGGGCTCCATGCTGGGCATGGAGCTTATTTAAAAAAAAAATAAAAAGTTACACAAAACATTTTGTAGAAGGCTCTAATTTTATTTTATTTTATTTTATTTTATTTTATTTTATTTTATTTATTTTATTTTATTTTATTTTATTTTATTTTATTTATTATTTGTTTATTTTGGTGGGTGGGAAGGGCAGAGGCAGAGGGAGAGCGAGAACCTTAAGCAGGCTCCATGCCCGACACAGGGCTCAATCACACACTCTGAGATCATGACCCGAGCTGAAATCAAGTCAGTCTCCCTGAGGGCCCTAATTTTAAAGAGCAAAATTTCCATCAATCATAAATAACAGATAAGTTTTAATAAAGGGTAAAATCATAATGATTATACAGATGTAAAAATAAACACATTTTAAAGATTTTATTTAACTCATTAATCAGTGAGGGAACTAGGCAGATTTTATAATTGACAAAGGAGAAATCGAAACAGCACAAATTTATGTGGAGTAAAAGAATGTTGAAATTAATGTCCAAAGTCAGTAAAACTACAGTGAAGGAGGTAATTGAACCTCTACTAGTCAGGGATAGAATTTGCATGTCTATAGACAATTATTTTGCATTGCTATCAGTTAAAATTTACAGAGTTGCAATTCAACACTAAAAAAAAAAAACCGATTAAAAAATGGGTGGAGGACCTGAATAGACATGCAGATGGCCAACAGACACATGAAAAGATGCTTAACCTCACTAATCATTGGAGAAATGCAAATCAAAACCGCAGTGAGATACCAATTATATGTCAGAATGCCTAAAAAAAAAAAAAAAACCATAACAAATGTTGGCCAGGATGTGGAGAAAAGAGAGCCCTCATGCATTATTGGTGGGAATATAAACTGGTGTGGCTGCTGTGGAAAACAGTATGGAAGTTCCTCAAAAAGGTAAACATAGAAATACCATATGATCCATTTTCACTACTGGGTATTTACTCAAAGAAAGCGAAAACACTAATTCAAAAAGATATATGCACCCCATGTTTATTGCACATTATTTACAATAGCCAAGATACGGAACATACGGACAGCCAAGTGTCCAGCCATAGATACATGGACAAAGAAGATGTGGTGTATATGTACAATGGAATATCACTCAGCCATAAAAAAGGACGATATCTTGCCATTTGCAACAGCATAGATGGACCTAGAGGGTATAATGTTAAGTGAAATAAGTCAGACTGAGAAAGACAAATAACCATGTGATTTCACTTATGTGTGGAATCTAAAAAACAAAACAAATGGATAAACAAAAAGACCCATAAATATGGAAAACAAACTGATGGTTGCTAGAGGGAAGGGGGGTTGGGTCAATGGGCAAAATGGGTGAAGGAGAGTGGGAGATACAGGCTTCCACTTAGGGAATAAATAAGTCGTGGGAATAAAAAGCACAGCATGGGGAATATAGTCCGTGATATTAGAAAAGCATTGTATGGTGACGGATGGTAGCTACATTTGTGGTGAGAATAGCGTAACTATAGAAAAGTTGAATCACTGTTGTACGCCTGAAACTTATGAAACATTGTGTGTCCACTATACTCTAATTTAAAAAGAAAACACAGTTTTCAGAGTTGCAAGTCAGTTCCCTGGAATCAAAAAGCAATCCGAAGGGGTCTCTTCTACAGTATAGAGAATCATGCATAGTTTTCCGCTGACATACATTTTTTTCCCCTGCATGATCAAACTAAAACACAGTAACTTTCCCTCTCCTATGAGTAAAGGTAGTTCCCATGCTTGTGGTCTTTGTGCCTGCTATGAGCCTTGTTTGTCAGTTTCTTCCATCCTTACAACAGCTTCCTGAAGTAGGCAGTGGTGGTGTTCCCATTTTACAGATGAGCAAGTCAGGCTTCAGAAGGTTAAAGACATTGCTACTAAGTGGTAGAGTTAGAACTCCGGCCTTTCTTTCTCCAAAGTGTATGTGAACACACACGTGCAGCAACATGCTCATAGTAAAAGCTATAGAAATACTGTGTATTTTTTTCTTGGTCTTTAGGTCAACATCAAACAAGGTGGATCTCAAGTGTGGCCTAGAAGAATGTGCGGTGGCATTGAACTTATTTCTAAGTAACAAATTTACAGATGCCTTAGAATTGCTTCGACCGTGGTAATTAACTGTATTTCTTTCAGATAAAATACATATTTTTCAGATGTTTCTGATGATTCTTTCTTTGATGTCATGATTGTCAGTTAATTTATCTGCATGTCCACCTGAATATTTCTAAGCTGATTTGGTTGAGACCCCCTACTGGTTGGTCAGTTTTAATATCCAGTTAAGAAATCTGTCTTTTCAAATTTAATCAGTAGAAAGTTTCTGATTCTTTCTCATATTTTAATTTATATTTGTGTTCAAATATTGTTATTGTATGTAGTTTTGTAGAGCTTCCTTTTGCTTTCTTCAGTGAAATGTTTTTATGGATATGCCTCTAAAGCTTAAATATCATTGAAAAAAGTTTCCTTTGAAATGGGATAAAAAGAACTAGAATATGCTAATCTCAAATGTTAAAAAGAAATTTAAAATAATAAAAAATGTTATTGGGACTCCTTATTTATGTGATAAACAAGTTAGGCAGTTTAATTTCAGCTAATAATACCTGTTCATTTTTCAAATGTGGCAGCAACTCCCATGCTCAGCCCTGATACTAGGCGTCACCTTGACCACAGTCCCCAGCTCTACAGTGTGCCTGGAGCTTGACAGGAATAATCTTATATTGTGCCTTCAAACACAGTCACTTGCTTGGATGAAGCTTAGACCTTATATAACCGTTTTTTAGAAGGTTACTTGGGCCAATAGTAGGAATCTCATTTCTTTGGTCAGTAGGGTATGTGATTTTGATCATAGACTTTCAGTCTTAACTACACTCATGGTGGTGAGCATTGCATAATATATAGAATTGCTGAATCACTATGTCGTACACCCGAAATGTATGTCAACTGCACACTGCAATTAAAAAAAAATTACATTACCTCCTGAGAAGCTGCTCTGGTAATTCTATTTTGATGTAGAGGCGCTGTGATCAATGAGTATTTCAGAGGTTAGGAACAGATGATAAAATAGATGGTACAGTCCACAGCTGAAGGAAATTGTCCAGCGTTGTCTTCAACACTTGTCTGCCCTGCCTGTCTCCTGCCTCATTTTCCTCTGTCCTTGCCAGTCCCTCAGACTTCTTTCTCTCTCCATCTTCTGTCTCTACTTCTCTGTCTTCCTTTCTCAACCTTCCTGCCTGTCTCCTTTGTGTTTTTATTCACACAGGACTCCTTTTTTTCTCTGTCTCAGACACCCAGCTGGTTGTAACATGGAATGAAAAGAAGTGATTATTTTATTTGGTCAAATTTTATATCCTCTGATCTTTATGCAAGTTTCACTGTTAACATATGTTTTTCCTGCTTGAATTGCTTGAATCGTTTTCCTCTTGGAGCTTTTGGTTTAAAATGTGAGGTTTAAAACCACAATAAATGATTAACTTTAGGCTGATCTTAACTCCTTGCAGGGTTTTTTGAACAGCCAGTGACCTCACTAGTCAGGCCAAACTGCAAATTACCAAAGGATGTTTAGACTGTTTCCATGGGGGAAAAGAATAATGTGGCCAGCATTTGTTTTCATAGCCGTGGGCTGTTGGGCATTGTATTTGAATTAAAAACAAAATCATGCATTAATATTTTAAATCTTGTAACAAATTGACCTAATGAGAAGTTTTGAGAAAGAAATGGTGAGGTTTTCACAGCCCGAAAGCCTGGGATGTGCCATACATTAAGACTAATTAATGTCCTTCTCTGAAAAACAAACTGAGGGTTCCAGAGGGGAGGGGGGTGTGGGGATGGGTTAGCCTGGTGATGGGTATTAAAGAGTGCACCTTCTGCGTGGAGCACTGGGTGTTATGCACAAACAATGAATCTTGGAACACTACATCACAAACTAATGATGTAATGTATGGTGATTAACATAACAATAAAAAAATTTAAAGAAAAAAAAGACTAATTAATGCCCTTAAGAATCCAAGCAAATTCTCTGGGCCCCTGGGTGGCTTAGTTGGTGAAGACTCTGCCTTCAGCTCAGGGATCAAGCCCCATGACGGGCTCCCTGCTCGGTGGGGAGTCTGCTTCTCCCTCTGCCCCTCACCCCCCTTGTGCTCTCTCTCTCAAATAAGTAAATAAAATCTTAAAAAAAAAAAAAGAATCCAAGCAATTCTCAACTGATAATTTAGTAATTGGAATTGTCAAGAACTTTAATAAGGAATTGTAGATAATGGGATTAGATTAGATATGAGGTCTAAAATGTACTTTACCTGGGCCCATTGTGGCTGACCTAATTTATTGCAAAAATCTTGCTTTTCTTTGGCCTCTGGCTGGGAATGGAAAGGAGCTTTTTTTTTTTTTTTTAATGACTGTCCGAAAATATATCAAAATCTCTCTGTCACAAAATGCATTTCCAGTGGCCTTTATTTTAGTACTTATATCAGAGCTAAAGATAGTAAGTATATTGCCTGGTGTTCAACTGGGAAAAATTGGTTTGCTTTGAAAGAAAAGAATCCGCAGGCTGCCCCCTTGTGCTGAAACAGGGCAAAACAATTGGCGGCTTCTGCTTTAACCTGGAACATTCTGTGCTGCCTCTGTAGGCTTAATTTGGAAAGTCCTTAATACTTGAGTTTTTTAGGACATGCCTTTCTCAGTCTATATTATTTTAGTGATCATGGTGTCGGAGTACAAGTTATCACTATCAAAGTCATCATTTGCATTTACTAGGATTTCTCCTGATTAGTATCAGACAAGATGTGCATGCTTTTGAGTTGAGTTGGGATGTATTAATTCCCTGTGTTTTGCCCCCAGGGCTAAGGAGAGTATGTACCATGCCTTGGGCTACAGTACTATTGTGGTGTTGCAGGCGGTCATGACCTTCGAGCAACAGGACATCCAAAACGGCATTTCTGCCATGAAGGACGCATTACAAACCTGCCAAAAGTATGAACTGAGTAATTAAATACTTGAGATAAAACTACAAACCTTTATGTCTGGGTGACAAAGTGAGTGTGGTTTGCCTGATGGAGAGAGCTGTTTGAAATTCGCCCCAATTATAGTAAGGGGCTTGTACTTCAAAGCTTCCTAGCCTCACATAGATCTATATAATAGAGTTAAAATTTCCTATTAGGAATTGTAGTTGATTCTTGTTTGGCCAAACACTTGGCATCTATACCTCCACCTTTTTCTTCTTCCTTTCTTTTCTTTCCCTCCCTCCCTTCCTTTCTTACTTCCCTCCCTCCTCCCTTCTTCCTTCCTTCCTTCCTTCCTTCCTTCCTTCCTTCCTTCCTTCCTTCCTTCCTTCCTTCCGTAGCTTGAGCCACAGAGAAGAACTGAGGGAGATGTCTGTGGGGTCAGCAGCATGCATCTCTCAAGGGTCTCCCTGGGGTGGATGATTTCAGCTACTGCCTGCCACGCGAGGCCGAGCAAGGAACACTCTTCTTTTATGTGGGAAATGCTGCCTATTCAGAAGGGAGAGCTGTATTTGCCTGAAAGGACATATTTGAACACCTCTGGTTGGTGAAAATGAGACGGATTTTCAGTTTTATTTTAATCTTTGTGTGTATAGCAAGACCCCAGCAACAGCTGTTAACTAGCATTGGTGAAGTTTAACATGAAACTATGTCCTCATGTAATTATGTTGCAACCCTACAAATGAAGAGAGTTTCCAAATACTGCCCTCTAAGTGATTCTTAACCTGTGGATACCTCTTAGCCCAGAAATATCGATTTCAGCCATACAGATAAGGGTTAGCATTCATTGTTTTGTGTGGGTTTGTCCACACGTGTCCAGTAAGCACGGATGGAGTACCCGCAGGATGCCAGCCCAGTGCTGGGTGCTGGGTGTGCAGTGTTGAAAAGGGTGGTCTCTGCGCTACAGACTTCAGGGTTTAGAGTTTCTCCTTGGTAACTCTTTGGTGTGACTGTGACAAAAATGAATGTCAAAGGAAAATGAGCCTGGCCTGATTTATTGTCATTTTTTCTTTCTGTTTCCCATCTTCCCTTCTGCTTATTCTCCACAGATACAGGAAAAAATGCACAGTTGTAGAATCTTTCTCAAGTCTTCTTTCTAGAGGATCATTGGAACAGCTGACTGAAGGTAAGACTCATTTTTCCTGTCTTTGAAAATTAAAACATGATCATACTCATAAAGTTCAGTACTTAAGTGTAGAATAAAAAGGAAATGGAAAATCTTTTTCTCTTTCCTATCATACTCACCCTGCAGAAGTAACCACTGGCAGTAGTTGGGTTAATGTCCCAGGATTCCCCATGTAGCAGAGCGGGATTCAAAGCTGATCTGCCTTTCTGTAAGCCACAGTTCTTTCCACTGTACCCCACACTTTCTCTGATAGGCTTGTAGAAAAGGGAACAAAATGTTCACATATGGATGAGGGAAATGATGAATCGTTCCTCTTTAGACATCTTGAAAGTAGATGGTGCTGTGTTCTTATCTTTTTATAATGTTTTTGTACATGGCACTTCAGAGAATCTGGAATAATTTACGTATTTACTTATTACTAACTATTAAAAAAGAAAACAAACAATGAGTTTGTTCTATTAGAATGTCCATAACCCAGAAAATCTGGAGTAATTTACTTATTTGCTTATTACTAATTATTAAAAAAGAAAACAAACAATGAGATACTGCTGTACACCTATTACAATGTCCATAATCTAAAATACCAACAACACCAAATGTTGGCAAAGATGTAGAGTCAAAGGAACCCTTATTCACGGCTGGTGGGAATGCAAAATTGTACAGCTACTTTGGGAGACAGTTTGGCAATTTCTTACAAAACTAAACATACTTTGACCATAAATCCAGCAGTCTCCTTAGTATCTACCCAAAGGAGCTGAAAACTTATGTCTGCATGTGGATGTTTACAGCAGCTTTATTTATAAGTGCCAAAACTTGTAAGCAACCAAGATATCCTTCAATAGGTGAATGGATAAATAAACTGTGGTACATCTAGACAAATGGAATATTATTTAGTGCTAAAAAGAAATGAACTCTCAAGCCATGAAAAGACATGGAGTGACTTTAAATGTGTATTACTGAGTGAAAGACACTAATCTGAAAAGGTGTCATGCTGTATGATTCCAAGCATATGACATTCCGGAAAGGGCAAAACTGTGGGGGCGGTGAGAAGATAAGTGGTTGCCGGGGAATGGGGTGTAGGGATGAATAGGTGGAGCACAGAGGATTTTCAGGGTAGTGAGAAAACTTTGTATGATATCATAATGATGGATACATGTCTTTATACATTTGTCCAAACCCGTAGAATGTACATCACCAAGAAGGAACTATAACATAAACTGTGGATGGTGGGTGATTATGTGTCAACAGAAGTTCATCAGTTCATCAGGGGGAGGTTAAGCATGCCTGGGGCAAGGGATACATGGGCAATTTCTGTACCTTCTCTTCAATTTTGTTGCCAACCTAAAACTGCTTTTTTAAAAAGTCTTAATTAGAAAACAGTAAACATAAATTAGCTTGTGACTATAGAGTATTCTGAAAAACAGGTTTATTTAGACTTTTACATCCAAAGTCATGCTTAGCTAACATTTTAGCACAGGGTGAAGCTATTTCCTTCAGTAGACTAAGGAATTTATAATTAAGAGATGTTCTGGTAAGGTACCTATTCATAAATGCCAAATGGTTAATTTTGAGAACTGGGGAACTGCCCAATATAAATCAACCAGAGTGAAGGAATACGACTTTTATAAATTAAGTTGCATTTTATTTCTAATGAGTTTGGCTGTCACTGCAACCCAAACAGACTTTGTGTTCAAGGGTGCATGTCAAAACATTGTAGCTTTAGTATGTGATTTGTTTTTCCTCTTGGTAATTTTCATTTACATCCTTGAGTGGCTGGTTGTCTGCAGGAGTCAGTATATTAAACTTTTCGTGGGTTTAACATGGAACACACCCTTTCTTCTCTCGGAGCTGGCATATTGCCCTGAATGTTTTTCAAATTTCTTTTAAAAACAGATATGTAAATGCAGTACTTAGGATGTGAAAGGGATTTAACATGAAGGATGCTTACATATGGTATACAGAGTTCAAATTTTCTTGCCTTTTATCTCTGCCTTCTTGTCACGTCCTTCAGCTGCTCTGTGGTGTGTCCATCTTTAACTTAACCCTGATGCAGCCAATCCTTCTGCTCAGACCTCTGCACAGACTCAGAAGGACCGAGACCCTGGCTGGTGATGGCTGCCAGGATGTGCGCAGGCCCTGACTCCGCAAGGCTGGCGCCATCTGTAGGCAGGCCGCTGAAGGCCCTGACTCTGCAAGCCTGGCCCCATCTGTAGGCAGGCCGCTGAAGGATCTTCACTGCCTAGTTGCTTCTTTGTAAATTCAGCCTTTGGCACATGAGCGTGGTAGGGATTGGAACCAGTTTGTGAGAACCAGCCTGTTGTGTGTCAGATGGCAGGGATAGGGGATGGGGTCTGTGTGTGTGAGTGAAAGACATACAGCGCTAGTCCTTATCCACTTTGACCCAACAGTATTCTCACAGACACAGAAGGACCCTATTTTTCAGCTACTTACTTCACATAAAAATGTCCTGCTTTCTGAGCTTTTACCAAAAAGCCCAATGTGGACCAAGGGCCAGTAATCGTACTGAAAGTAGCTAACAAAAATCCAGTGCTTACTCTCCATAGTGAGCTCTGTGCAGCACCTCATTTGATTCTTTAGCTGTGAAGTGAAGACGGTACTAGCTGGACTTTATAAATGAGGTGGCCAGCAGCCGAGAGAGGTGGATACCCACAACACGGCAGAACCTTTCCTCCAACCCAAGCTGTTAAATCCCCCAAGCTCGTTTACTTAAATAAAATGCCAGTTTGCATCCCATGGATAAAACAGGAATCTGCTAATTTTGTTTATGCAAAAATGCAAAGATTTCCCTCCCACCCCAATCTCTGCAAGTGAAAGGTATTGTTTAGGAAGACAGGCCATGTGTTTTGGGGCATTCCATATGTCCCTGGGATATACATAGCTTTACAGAGTCCCTTTTGTGAGTGCTTTGTTCCTGTGCTAGATAGCTCGGTGATCAAAATAGCCTGAAATTGTGCTAGTGTGAGCTCTTTTTATATCATGTCTTCGATGTGTGAGGAGTCATGCCTTGGGCGTGCTGGTCCATACTTGTTCACAGACCTCAGAGAATTGCTGCTTTCTCTTTAAGTTAATGGGGTGTCTAATCATTGCCATGATTATCATACCTTCATATTTTAGAAGCTAGAATTCATAAATTTAAGATAGTTTTTTCAATTTCTATAACTGTGTTAAACATACGTGTTACTGTTAAGTTAAAAAATATTTTTTTAAGTACTTTTAAATTTTGGTTTCCTCTTGTGAGCTGAGTTTAGGTCTCTGGCACCAAGCACCCGACTCTTCGCAGTTATATTTGAATGGGGCCAAAGATGACTTCCTTAAATCCTTTTACACATTCTAGGAAAATCTTGCCAAGGGACTGAGAACCGAGGTCATCCTTCTGCTTTTATGGAAGTACCAAAGCAACCTAGATTTTTGTGTCTCTCTTGGGTTCTTTGAGCTACGAGTCTTTCCTGAACATCTCAGAGCAATTACTGTGGACATAGGATTTTCCTTAATGTAATTTTATTTGTTTTTAATAGAGGAAATGCATGCCGAAATCTGTTATGCCGAGTGTCTCCTACAGAAAGCAGCACTCACGTTTGTGCAGGTAATAAATGTTTGGCTTCGAATCAGTACGCCGGGGAAGCCTGCCAGTACCACACAGAAAAAATGGGGCTCATTCTATGTCAGTGCTTCAGTTCTTTTGACTTAGACTTGTAATGGAAGATACTTGTTGTTCTGATAAACTTTGACTGAAAAATGACCCCAGGGAGCTTTGTTCCTACTCAAATGCACTTGGAGTCTGTTCCAAATTTCAGTCTATTGGGAACCCACTGCCTTATAAAGGAACTGTTTTGCAACTACTGCACCGAATTTCTGGACGCTTCGCTGTATGAGAAGTGGGATTATCCCTCTTTGCATTTGCTAGGGGTAGAGGCTACAGGCCCGGGCCAAAGAGGCATTTTCATCCTTGGCCATTCCCTTCTTACACCAGATGCTTCAGCAAAGCTCAGGTATGCATGCTTTGAGTGCCAAGCTTTTCATATACACTTCAGATTTTATTTTTGCCCCTCTTTCTATTCTCATGCCCCTTTCTTGCTTTTATTTCTTCCCTTTGGAAGAGCAGATTTAAAAAGTCATTAAACCAAACCATGAATAGCTTTCTTTAAGGGACATTTTAATTTTACGTCTAGGAACTGTTATAACCAGCGCCTTGCGTGACATTGTATCTTCCAATGCTTCTAAACAATGTGGATTTTAACATCATGTCCCCATGGGTGGTGGTGATGGATACACTGGGGGTAGAGGTAGGGTCAAGATTGTAAGGGAGCAAAAATGCAATTGTAAAATTGAAAATCTTCCTCAATCACAATGTTTTACATTGTATTGAGAGTTGCTTTCCTTTTTTTTTTTTTTTTTTTCTTGGAGATTGACTTCTTAGGTTGGATTCCGGTTTAGTAAAATTGAACCAATCTGGTCTATGACCCTGTTTCCTAAAACCCTACGTATTATGAAGTCTGGTTGAAAACCTCATTCTTACTGCCTCGGGAAACATAATGCTAGTCATGGAGGCCCTCCAGTTTTTCTGATGTGTTTTCCAAATGGGGATTTGACAGTCAAATCTGGGATTTGAAGTCTTATTTTATATGTGGGGACTTGTAATTAAACATCTGGGAGATATCCAAGACTCCTCCCTCTTCCTCATGCCTCCATATCCATTTAATGCTCATGTTTCTTTTACCTTGTGAGGATTTAGCAGCGCCATCTCTTCCTTCTTGAGTGTTCTAGCGGGGGTGTTTATCAGCTCTTCTCCAGAGGGCACAGCGACCTGGTGACCCTCTGGCTCTAATTTCTTAGCCTCCAGCTCATTGTCCGTTGTGTGGCTGAGCGCCCTCTCAGGGATGAGACCCTCACCCCCTCATGGCTGTGCTTCAGCTGTGAGTCCCTCTCACGGACGATGGCAGTGGGCCCGTATCAGAATATCAGCAAGCGGGGGAGGCTTTTTCAAACTAAACTGGTATCTTCTCCCACATTCCCTCCTCCCCTCTTACCCCACGGGAAGAGGTAGCTTTCTTACTCCTTCGTTCTGTCTTCGTGGGAGCTTTGTGGCAGCGCTGACTTACCTAAGCACAGATGGCCAAGCATGCCATGATCGTTAATGCTTCCTTGCCTTTCCTTCCGCTTGAGTATTCCCTGGCTCGCAAGGTTCGCATCTGCTTTGCCTTCCTTCATCTGGCCACTTCCCAATCATTTTTTTGTGCCTTAAGCCCCGATGCTTCCAGGAAGCTTCTGTGGACCTCTCCATGTCACCGCCTCCCCTGCTCTGAGCTCTCCTCACCTCCTGTGCATATCTCCTTCTGTGTGCATGACTCCAGCCCTTAGCACCTTGTATTGCTTTTGACTGATGTTGCATTCAGATGCCTGGTGTAAAATAGGCATTCAGTAAATGTTTGGTGAATCATGAAACGAAATATTATTATTTGAGGCAGATTTTAATGTGATTTTGGAAATTCTTTCCTGGCCAATCTTGGAACTTGTGTAATCATAAGATTCCTTAAATAAGAAGATAAACATTTAAGTTGTGTAGTGAATTTTGTATTTATTGATTCTTAGAATAATTTAAATGGTAAAGATTTAATATTTAATGAAATTTGTAAGCTGAAGTAAATTTTCCTCTTGCTTTAGAAGGATGCTGAAGTGCACAGGAAATAAATACCAGAGCATCTCTCCATTATCAATAGATTAGAAAAATATTCTCCTTGGAAATGTGAAATATGGGACTGTCTCCATTAAGCATTGTTAGATTAACTTCTTTTGAGCAGGTTTTGATATAATTCATTAAGAGATTCTCTTGGAATCCTAGAATGCTGACCCTGAAAATGATATTCATTTAGGCCCTCTGCCTCAACTTTGTGGTTGATGACCATCGGGCAAAGAAAAGTGAAATGATTTTTTTTTTCTCCAAAACAAAACTGCATATTGTGACAATCAGTTTAGAATCCAGATCAGTAATTTTTGTTCTAGAAATGTATATGAGTGAAATTTACAGTGTTAAATAGACTGAATGCTGAAGTACCCTGCAAAAGAAGAACCATCATCCCATTTACTGGAGTGTGATGGACTGGAAAGTCCTTAGAGCATATCCTTAAATCACCCATTTTGGATTCTTTTGAACCCAGAAGAAAATTGCGCATTAGATGATGTTTTTCACAGTAGATTTGGACTAACTAACATATTTGGCCACTAAGTGGTAAGGATTACTTCCTTAATTACTTGCTTGAAGTAATGCAAAGATTTTTAAAATGTGTTCTTTTTATTGCCATCTAAGTTGGAAGGAAAATTACAGAAGAGCATTTCAAATGTAAAGCAAGAAGAATGTTTTAATTTAAAAATTATGTCCTCAAAAGATAGTGTTTTGTTCTCATCACACAAATACATAACTGTACAGTGTAAGAATCTTTTGCTAAGTGATCTAATTATTTAACTGAATTGTTTTCAGGATGAAAATATGATCAACTTCATCAAAGGTGGACTCAAAATTAGGACAAGTTACCAAATATATAAGTAAGTTAAAAATTAAGATCTTATTTTTAAATGATTCTTATATTCTGTCCAGTTCGTACTTCAAAATTCTCATGAAGTATGACTAGGTTTTATTTGCTGTTGGTAAAAATGCACTTGATTTTTTGGCTTACTGTGTATGTATTCAGTGCTATAGGACAACAGAATTTAAGTTTAAATGCAATCTTGAAAAAAATAGCTGAAAAAAAGCTACCGACATAATTTCTAATTACATAATCTTAGTTTCTCTCTCCTAAAATCAATTTATATATCTAAAATTATAGGTATGTCTTTGGTCCAGACTTTAGAGCAGCACTGCTTGATAGAATTTTCTGCAGTGATTCAAAGGTGGACCATAGTGTTGTCCGTATCTTCTATATCCTTACTGATTTTTATCTAGTTGCTCTGTCATTTGCTCACAGAGTTCAAAATCTCCAACTTTGATTCTGAGATCACCCATTTCTCTCTCTTTAGTTCTGTCAGTGTTTGCATTGTATATTTAGAGCCTCTGTTATGTTTATATATATTTTATTTTATCTTCCTAATGAATTAACTGTTTTATCATTATGAAATGTCTCTACTTAACTCCTTATAAGAAATATTTGTCTTGAAGTCTGTTTTTAATATAGCTACTCATGCATTTTTATAATTAGTGGTAAGTGTAGCATGACATATATTCTTATACTTTAAACCTATCTTTGTTTTTATATTTTAATTGCAGTTCTTATAGATGTTTATAGTTGGGTCTTGCTTTTTTATTCAGTATAACAAACGATACGTTTGCACTTGCAGCTACCATTTTTCTTGTTCTCTTGCCTCATTTGGTTTTCTCACTTCTTTTTTGCCTTTTATTGCATTACTGAAATTTTAAATATATATATATATTCCAATGTAATCAATCACTCTACTGATTTCTAAGCTTACCTCTTTAATTTTTTTAAAGGTCACTCTAGTGATTATAATATCCTTCTTAACTTACCACAGTCAACTTAGAGTTAATATTGTACTATTGCCCATAAAATGTTTTGTTTTGTTTTTTTTTAAAGATTTTTTTTTTTTTTATCTATTTATTATTTGAGAGAGAGAATGAGAGCTAGAGAGCACGAGAGGGAAGAGGGTCAGAGGGAGAAGCAGACTCCCCGCTGAGCAGGGAGCCTGATGTGGGACTCGATCCCGGGACTCCAGGATCATGACCTGAGCTGAAGGCAGTTGCTTAACCAACTGAGCCACCCAGGCGCCCTGCCCATAAAATGTAAGAACTTTGTGAATATATAGTTTCATTGACCACTTGTCTTTTATACTATTCTTATGATAGTACACTTACATATATTATAAGACCCCCAATGCAGTGTCAAATTTTTTTCATAAAGATTTATTTATTTGAGAGAGAGAGAGCGAGAGCATGTGTGGTGCGCCCAAGCATGGGGGGAGGGGCAGAGGGAGAGAATCTTCAAGCAGACTCCCCCTGGAGCACAGTGCCCAACTTGGGGCTCAGTCTCATGACCCATGAGGTCACTACCTTAGCCAAAACCAAGAGTCGGACACTTGACCAACTGAGCCACCCAGTCGCCCCAACAATAGGACTGTGGCTTTCTGTATTGGTTCTAGGCGTCCCACGTTGAGTGGATTCGAGAGTATTTTCAGCTGACTAGCCATGTAAATGTAAAGTCTGTGTGAGAGATGTTCCCATCTTTCACAGTTCAGCTCTTCTCCAGTTTCTTACTACTTTTTGTTTTCACTTTCCAGTGCCTGAAAATGCATTTTAAATATATATTTAAATTCCAAAGTTATAATTGTTATCTGTGGGAAGGTTAATCTAATATAAGCTATAGTATGTGTGTCATTATTAGAAGCAGATCCCCATCAGTGAGAGCAGAACCAAGATTTAGTATTTTAAGAGATAATTTTACCCAAAGTGATTTTATAAAATTATATTCCATTCAAAATCATGGAGGTAGGGGGGAGTTTTGGGAAATTGACCAATTGTTTTTAGTTTTCCTCTTGAAATACCTTTTTTTTTAAAGGTTTTTTTTTTCTTTTTCTTTTGACAGAGAGAGAGAGAGAGAGAGAGAGAGAGAGCGCACACACAAGCAGAGGGTGTAGGAGAGGGAGAAGCAGGTTCCCTGCTGAGCAAGGAGCCCAATGCAGGGCTCAATCCCAGGACCCTGGGTTCATGACCTGAGCCAAAGGCAGACGCTTAACTGGCTGAGCCACCCAGGCGCCCCTCTTGAAATACTTTTTAGATGATATGGATGCCTGGGTGGCTTAGTCGGTTAAATATCTGCCTTCGGCTCTGGTCATGATCCCAGGGTCCTGGGATCGAGTCCCACATTGGGCTCCCTGCTCCGTGGCAAACCTGCTTCTCCCTCTGCCTCTGCTTCCCTCTCTCTCTCTCTCTATCTCTCTCTGTCTCTCATGAATAAATAAAATTTTTGAGAAAAAAAATACTTTCAGATGATATAAAAGGATGTTAAAGAGATAATTGCTTTTCTAGTCATCAAAACTTAAAAACTGGAATGAATTCAAGTAGTCTTAAAATGGCACAAACCTATCAGTGTGTGCATGCATGTACTTTTGTACATACATACAGACATTTACTTGGGAATTAAAAATATGTGAAATTCCTATGTATACATAGGTCTCTTTCAAAATAGTGGGAAAAATAGATACTTTTTGGGGAAATTGGTTCTTCATTCTGGAAAAAGAAAGCATGAAAATAAATTCCGTGTATATTTAATATTAAAAAATTTTTTAAGGGCGCCTGGGTAGTTCAGTTGGTTAAGCAACTGCCTTCAGCTCGGGTCATGATCCTGGAGTCCCAGGATCGAGTCCTGCATCGGGCTCCCTGCTCAGCAGAGAGCCTGCTTCTCCCTCTGACCCTCCCCCCTCTCAAGCTCTCTCTCTCATTCTCTCTCTCTCATTTATTTATGTGTGAGAGAGAGAGCACACGTGAGCAGGAGGGGTAGAGGGAAGAGGAGAGAGAGAATCTCCGTCAGACTGTGCTGAGCGGAGCCCAACACAGGGCTCAGTCTCACAACCCTGAGATCACGACCTGAGTTGAAACCAGGAGTTGGATGCTTAACTGACTGAGCCACCCAGGCTTCTCTAATATTAAAATATTTTTCAAAGGGTAATAGTGAAAACATAAGGAAAATATTTTTTATAGCCTAAAGCACAAAAGCCTTTAAACTTTTATTTAAATTTTTTTCACTTTGAAATAACTTCAGGATTTTTACAAAGAATTTTTATATATTCTTCATCCAGAGTCACAAATGTTAACATCTTATAGAACCACAGTAATAATTATTAAAACCAAAAAACTAACATTGATATGATAATTATCAATTACTCCACTGATTTTACTCTGATTTCTCTGATTGTCCCAGTAATGTCCTCTTTCTGGCTCAGAATTGAATTCAGGGTCGGGGATGTTGCATTTAGTTATGTTTCTTCACTCTTTTTTAATCTGGAAGTGTCCCTCAGTCTTTCTTTATTTTTATAATCTTGACATTTTTGAAGTATACTGGGCCGTTATTTTGTAGAATGTCTCTCAGCGGGGACTAATCTAATGTTTCTTCATGATTACATCCAGATTTCGCATCTATGGCAAGAATACCATACAAGTGATATTGTGTCTTTCCGTAGTGTATCGTATCAGCAGATACATGATGTCAATTTCAGAAGCCTTTTTGAGTGTGACAAAATCAGGAACCATAAAAGACTGACTTGACCAAATAAACATTTCAGTTTTTGTCAGGGCAAAATATACCATAATAAAAAATACAAATGGAAATGTGATACAAATGATTCAGGGAAAATGACAGTGTGAGGAGCTCATAAGTTGGTGGGAATCTAAATTGATAGAGTTTTCCTGAAGGATGTTCTGACAGTATGTATCAAAATTAAGAAAGTGTATCACCTTTGATCTCAGAAGTCCCTTTTCTAGGAATTTATCCTAAGGATAGTTGTGATAGATTAACTATAGTTACAGTACTTGATGTAGGAAAAGTACTTGATGAATGTACAAGCACACTTTTAGCAACATTGTTATAATATGGAAAATTTGGAAACAATGTAAATATTTAACAATGGAATTTGGTTAAATAAATTATTCCATAGAATAAGATAATACGCACTTGTTAAAAATAAGGTAGCTCTCATGCATTTTCATGGAAAAATCATCAATATAACTTATAGGACAGTATATACTATATAATCCCATTTGTGGTTTTTAAAGATTGGATTCTTACTAAAGCATAAAACCACCTAGAAGGTTAGGTACCAGGCTGTTAACAGTGACTGTCTCTCTGCATGATAGTCATGCAGGGGCACTTATGCTGTCTCCATGTTATTTGAAAATTTTGTAACAGTCATCTATTATCAGAAAATAGAACATTTATCACCCAGCCACCCCATCCCTCCCACCCCCCCACCACTCCAACAACCCTCAGTTTGTTTCCTGAGATTAAGAATTCCTCGTATCAGTGAGGTCATATTGAATCACAGACCTGTACCTCTGAAACAAATAGTACATTATATGTTAAAAAAAAAAAAGAAGAAGATAGCAGGAGGGGAAGAATGAAGGGGGGGAAATCAGAGGGGGAGACGAACCATGAGAGACTGTGGACTCTGAAAAACAAACCGAGGGTTCTAGAGGGGAAGGCGGTGGGAGGATGGGTTACCCTGGTGATGGGTATTAAAGAGGGCACGTTCTGCTTGGAGCACTGGGTGTTATACGCAAACAATGAAAAAAGAAAAGAATTCTGAAAATCATTTCTATCTCCTGCCATCCTATTGATATTTTCATGTTTGCATTCTTAATGCATGCATATGAGCATATATAATTATCTTTTTATGTAATGAAATCATATACTTCATGTCATTTTGAAATTTCCTTTTTCACTTCATGTCACAAAAATTTAGGTCATTAAATGTTTTTAGTTCCTCATGGATTTTAATGGCTACATAGCATTCTATTATGTGGGTACACCACACATGTGTATGTATAAATATATGTACTCATGTGACTCTTCTTAATTTCCCGTTGTTGCCTATTTAGTTTGTTTATACATTTTCATTATAAATAGTAATACAGTATCTCTCCTTACAGGTAAGTTTTGTGTTTATCCATGCTATTTCCTTAGAATAAAATTGGATTTATTGGGTCAAAAGTACACCTGTGTTTAAGATTTTTGATATATATTGCAAAATTATTCTGAAAAATAATTGGGTTGGCAAACTTTTTCTTAAAGGGCTAGATGGTCAATATGTTTGGCTTGTGGGTCATAAGATCTCTGTTGCAACTACTTAACTCTATTTGGAGTATAAATAGCCATAGATAATAAATGAATGAATGAGCATGCTTATGTCCCCCTAATTTGCCAATCTCCATACTATAACTACCTTTTACCAAAGTAGATGAATATGTCTATTTGTTCTTTCCTTTGCCAGCACTGGTTTTCCATTAAAAAATTTAAAATAATGCTTTATTATCACAAAAGTGGCATATATATTTAGGAATGTAGGTGAGCAGCTATTAACATACATACTCCATATTCTTTTCACACAGTGATAATGGCTGCAAAACCTTAGTATATATTATTTCAGAATATTTTCTATCCAAATCTAAAGATATATGTTCTTTTTAATGTGCATACTCTTTTGTAACCTGCTTTTTTCAGTTAATGTTCTTTACTTTTCCATGTCAATAAATCTTCATTTCATGTAATACTTATTCTATCTTCACGTTCTCCTGGTTGGCCCCAAATTTCTCTTACTGCTGGTATGTCTATACCAGGATGCAACACAAGACTGTCTACTGCATCCCCTTTTTATGTCCATTTAATATCTTTTATTCTAGAACAGTCTCTATATTCATGATGGTTGTTGAAAAGTCCGAGCCAGTTGTCCTGCAGAATATCCCATGGATTTGTTTGATGGCTTTCTTGACTTTTCATTTAGCTTGTTCTTTGTCTTAGTTAGTTCAAGCTGCCGTAACGGAATACTACAGACAGGGTGGCTTAAAGAACAGAATTTTATTTTCTCACAGTTCTGGAGGTTGGAAGTCTAAGATCAGGGTACCAGCATGATCAGCTTCTGGAGAGAGCTCTCTTTCAGGCTTGCAGACAGATAACTACTTTCTCACTCAGCCCTTATAAGGGCCAAGAGAGAGATACTCTCTCTTTCTCTTCTGAGGTCACCTGTCTTTACAGATTAGGACCTTACCCTTAATTACCTCCTAAAAATCCCTAACTTCATCTATCCTCACACTGGGGCTTAGAGCTTCAACATATGAATTTGGAGGCGGGCATAATTAATTCAGTCCATAGCATTCTTCTAGCGCCTAATATTTCCTATAAGCTGGCAATTAGATCTATAGGCTTACTGGATTCAGGTTAAATAAATTTGGCTAGACTACATCATAAATGAAGTTGTACGCTTTATAATTATATTACAAAAGGTGATACATAACGTCTGGTTATTTCTTACTGCCTTTAAAATATATATTTGTCAATTTGGTAAGCAATTCCTGTTCGTTACCAAGTTTTATATCTTTGTCATTGTTTTAATTTGCATTTCTCTGATTAAGTATTTGCCTTTTGAAGATGTGAAGGGAAGGGGGGAAATGCACAGAAAAGAAATTAAAAGGAGAAATCGGAAAGATTTGCTTGGATGGAGTAGGAAGAAGAAAGACAAATGGTGCAGTTTGATGGAATTTGCTGTCCTCTTTCAGCCTTTCCTACTGGCAAGCTCTAAGTTATTTGGTCTATTTGAGATCATGGCCATCCCACTGAAATTCACATCTTTTTGGCAGCAGCTCCTCAGATACTTGGCGGAAGGTAGGGTTGCTCAAGCGTGCACAGCAACCAAGAGATGGAGCACCCCTGAGAAGTCTTCTGTGAGACTTTGCTGGAAAGCTGTGAGGTCACAGCCCTATCGTCCTGGGGCTGTGGAGTCCTGCGTGCTGATGTTCGAACCCTGTCTCGTTTCAGCCCAGAAAAACTGGTCCTGATAAACCAGGCAGAAATGGGTGTGTCAGTTTTTCCTTAATGACTATTACCCAAGTTGCCTTTAAGGTTAAACTCAGCACAGCCGCCTCCATTGAAAAATCCCCGAGCATTTTGGCTAATGACATTTATCTTACAGCGTGTCAGTGTGAAATTTGACTTCACATTAACTTTAAGAGCCATAGTAAAACTTACGCAATAACTTTTTTCTTCAATCCAGAGAATGTCTTTCTATCCTGCATGTAATTCAGAAGAACAAAGTTGAACAGCAGTTCTTCTATGAGTTTGAAGGGGGTGTCAAGCTTGGAATTGGTGCCTTTAATTTGGTAAGTAAATAATTGTAAAGCTGCCAGAAGCCTTTTTAAAAGAACCTAAGGTTGGCACCTGGGTGGCTCAGTCATTAAGCATCTGCCTTCGGCTCAGGTCATGATCCCGGGGTCCTGGGATCAAGCCCTGCATCGGGCTCCTTGCTCTGCAGGAAGCATGCTTCTCCCTCTCCCACTCCCCCTGCTTGTGGTCCCTCTCTCGCTGTGTCTCTGTCAAATAAATAAATAAAATCTTCAAAAAAAAAAAATAAAAAATAAAAGAACCTAAGGTTTCCAGTGCCTTCTCTACTGTGTGTGAACCTTTACCTGGGTTTGGTTGACGAGTCGCTAGAGTGGGATCAGTTTTTTTTGTGTTGTGACCCAGTGGTGACTTTGGCCAGTATGCGTTGTAAAGTTCTGCACATGCTCAGAGTAGGTTTGGATTGTACAAGAGGAGAAGCATGCATCACTCTGAATGGACTAGCAACATACTTGGTAATAAGGAGCTTGGAATCCGGTTCCATTTCCACATCAGAAATATTGTTGCTTTAGCAATGGTGGCTCTGGAATTGAAGATGGGTGAGGCAGTAGCCATATAGCTTGAGGCATGATTTTGATGCTGTGAGGGCGACAAAGAGTTTGAGTAGATATTTGTCAAATTGTAATATGTTATTTAGAGATTTTGAAATTTATTAAGGTTTGACTGGAACTAATGAGAAAATGCAGTGGTAAAGGGAATAATATACACGAGTGTGTACATCACCGTGGCCACTTAGTTCACGAGCCCAGTTGGTCAATGATAGGGGTGGCTGAGGAAAGAGGCTGGCTGGCTGTTAGAACAGGTCATCATATTCACTTGATTATTCAAATCCTCCTCTCCTGAGGTCAGGCTTTGGTGAACATTCATATTGGACACAAATATCTTCATGTTTTTTGCTCATTCAGAGAGGTCTGTGCTCTTTCCTAGACTTCCTTGTCATTAATATTCCAATGATATTCCTTCCAAATCCCTGACCATCCAGCCAAACCATTGGCTCCAGCCGAGGAATCCGTATAGAATCACACATGTGGCCATTTCTCCTTCCAAGCAAAGTGAACAAGCAGGTGACCTGTTCTTGCGCTGCCTGGATTTTCCCCTCCCCGCTGCTCCCCAGGGATGTTCTAGAAAGCAACTGTAGTGCCATGCTCTTCACTTTTGGGTGATGCCTGCATATTATGCAGAATTCAACAGACTTGCTTTCTGGAAAAGGAGGTTAAAAGAGATCTTGTTTGGAAGTGGGCACTGAGGGATTGCCTTCTCAGCACTTAATCACTGCACATAGGAGGAGCAAGTATTCTCTAGAGTGTCCTGAAAAGGCTGTGGTTTTTGTTGTTATTGTTGTGTGTTTTGTTTTTTAAAGTTTTTTAGGTTCATTGTCTTAGCTAAATGAAATTAAGTCATATGTGCAATATGTGACGATTGAGATAGGTATAGTGATTCAAACTTGGTTCTAGTATTTCGTATTACTGAATTATTAAAACTTTAAGTTGTTTGAGGTTAATATTTATCTGTAGATAGATACACTAACAAATATGCTTTTTTTTTCTTCTTGCAGATGCTCTCCCTTTTACCAGCACGGATTATCAGACTACTAGAATTTATAGGATTTTCAGGAAACAGGGTACACATTTAATTTTATCTTGATTTTGACAGGAAAGGTAAAACATTATTTACTGAATACAAGGGCAATGCAGCACATCCTCATGACCAGCATGACAATTATTGACAATTTGTTTGCAGGACAGTAGAAAGTCATTGGGGTCTTGATAGTACTTTTCAGGAGCTGAGATGGTTTTGCTATTGAAAACTAAAAATTTTTATATTTGTACCTAAGTTCTGGGATTAAAAATTTTGTTTTACTAACATTGCTACTTGCTGGACTTTAGTATTCTTGTGTGGTTAAAATATGCTTCCTTAACCTTTTAGCAACCCCAGAGTGTTGTGTAAAACCAGGAAATTAGGCTAGATTTCCATGTCTCATGTTTTTTGTTTCACATGGATCAAGTATAGTTAAAGTATTTTGGGTTTCCTTGCACTTTCATAAGTTTCATGATAAAACTAAGCAAGGAAATTTTGTTTTCCAGGAGTCTCATTCATTATAGTTCCGTGTGGTTGTTTTTGTAATGTATAACATTAATTAAACCTAACACTCAATATGCTATTACCAGGGTTGCCTTATTGCAAAAGCTGTCCCTGTTAGTGAAGAGGGCAGGTTTTGAGAACTATATGAGGACAAGTATAAGAAGCTGTTATTTATCCCCCCAGAAAGGTCCTGTGCTTTTCTGTTTTCTGTGCTTCTGCTATTCTCTATTTTGGATGTCCTCCCTAGCCAGCAGCCTCCCAAATAAGGTTCTCTTGAGAGCCTCTCCATCCATTAGGTTTGAGATAAATGTCAGCTATTCCTCAAACTCTCCCTTATTCTCTCCCAGTGAGGCTCAAGTATTCCTGACTCAGAATCATTTATTTTCCTATGGCACTCACCATATTCTAATACAACCGTGTGTTCATGTAGTGTCTTACCTATTTGATGGAAAGATCTTTGAAGACAAAACTATATTTGTTCATGACATTAAGGAGGGCATGTGATGTAATGAGCACTGGGTATTATATAAGACTGATGAATCACAGGCCTGTACCTCTGAAACCAATAAAACATTATATGTTAATTAATTGAATTTAAATAAAAAAATGTTTAAAAAAACCCCTGTATTTGTTCATACCCACCATAATGCCTTGCACTTAGATCCTCAACATGTTTTAATAAATTAATATTTTTACCAGAGAAATACAACATTTCTATGAAATGAGCACTGCCTTTGTCCTCTCCGTAGAATCACATAATATGAAAGAATTTGTGAGATCATCTTATGTCAGTTTATTTTTTTTTAAGATTTTATTTATTCATTTGCGAGAGAGACAGAGAGAGAACAAGCAGGGGGAGAGGGAGAGGGAGAAGCAGACTCCCCGCCTAGCAAGGAGCCCGATGCAGTACTCGATCCCAGGACCCTGGGATCATGACCCGAGCCGAAGGCAGACGCTCAACCATCTGAGCCACCCAGGCGCCCCCTTATGTCAGTTTAAAATGTAAACTTTGTGGGGTGCCTGGTGGCTCAGTCGTTGGGCTTCTGCCTTCAGCTTGGGTCATGATCCCAGGGTCCTGGGATCGAGCCCCGCATCGGGCTCCCTGCTCGGTGGGAAGCCTGCTTCTCTCTCTCCCTGTCCCGCTCCCCCTGCTTGTGTTCCCTCTCTTGCTGTCTCTCTCTCTCTGTCAAATAAATAAATAAAATCTTTAAAAAAATAAATAAAATGTAAATTTTGTTTCTGGTCAGGCATTGCCCCTATTCTAAGCTCTTGAAAAATAAACCCCACCTTCTTGGAGGGGGGAGACACAGGAACTTGGCCTCTGCCTCTGTAGTATCTGAATGTGATTTTTCAATCATGTTTTCTCCTTCTGAAATGCATTTGCTTCCCGCAGGAGTTGGGCCTCCTGCAGTTACAGGAAGGTGCATCAGGAAGAAGCATGAGGTCTCCGCTGTGCTGCTTAACTATACTAGCTTTTCATACTTACATCTCTCTAATCCTTGGTAAGGACCGGATTACATTTTATTTCATTGAAAATAGATTACCTTTCATCTGAGTAAGTAAAAAATTTAGATTGTACCCTCGAAACCAACATAACATTGTTTGTTGATTATATTTCAATTAAAACAATTAGAAAAAAAATCACTTAAGAGCTAGCAGTCTGTATCTGTTTACTTTTTTTTTCTTTTTTTGAGTAAAGATGCAAAATAGTGACATTTGTCATAGTAACATTTGGCAGAGGGGGTGGACGGTCTCTTTCCCTGAATATTTTGTATCTGTTCTCTGCTAAAAACATTCTGTAAAATTTGTTTAAGTTGATCTGTTTTAGCATATTCATATAAGATTTCTTTTTGAGTAGAAAATTAAATTTTTGGCTAAGTTAATATTGCTTTGAAAACCAGAAAGCCCAATTAGGACTCAACGATAACTCCTTCCATTCTTAAGAATTAGTCGGTCCTAGAGCTTTCTTAAACTAAAGTCATGGGTGGGACTTGTCTTACCAAATTAACAGTTCTTTTTTTTTTTTTTAAAGATTTTATTTATTTATTCATGAGAGACAGAGAGAGAGAGAGAGAGAGGCAGAGGGAGAAGCAGGCTCCCAAGGAGCAAGGAGCCCGATGCGGGACTCGATCCCAGGACTCTAGGATCATGACCTGAGCTGAAGGCAGATGCTTAACCATCTGAGCCACCCAGGCGCCCACCAAATTAACAGTTCTTATCTTTTCCATGAATAGGTGTTTGCTATATTTTACTGAAATGTGGAGAATTACTTATAAGTATCTACCCTGTTGTGAAGACTGAGGCTTTTCCTGTTAAATTTCTAGGTACAGGAGAAGTGAATGTTGTGGAAGCAGAGAGTCTTCTTGCACCCTTCCTCCAGCAGTTCCCAAACGTATGCTTAGAATTTCAAGTACATGTTTCAGCCATAACCTGTCAGGCGGGGCTGACCGCTGATCAGTCTCTCTGCTTCCTTTCTCCCCAGGGCTCCCTCATGTTGTTTTATCATGCTCGGATAGAGCTGCTGAAAGGGAATGTGGAAGAGGTAATTTATTTGGGGGGAGTAATTTGGGGAGTTGTCTGTAAGGTGGAGTTGTGTCACACTCATTCAACATAAGTAAATTCAGCTGTATGCACTAGACAGAAGTAAAGACGACATGTGTTATTAAAACGCCCCACTTTAATTTTGTGTATGCATTTCTATATGTAGATTACTGAATACAGTCTATACTTACACATTAAGTATGTGAGGCAGCTCGGAGTAGAATATACAAAATACAAGTGGGCACCTTTAAGGGAGTACAGTTTCTGTATTGCATATTGACTTTGGGATCGAGCCCCTGAATAAGATACAGCCTCACTGTACTGCACATACTCCTCATCAAAGGAAATCATTCGCTAATTCTCTTGAAGAAGACGACTATGGAGCTTTTCATATAAGTATACTCATAAATAATTTTCTTCTACACAAATGAAGTCAAACATACGTATTTTTCTTTGACTTGTTTTTGTTTTGTTTTGTTTTGTTTTCTACTTACAATACATCTTGGATTTCTTTCCAGGTCAGTATATCTAAATCTCCTGCATTCTTTTTGAGGGCTGGATTTCATTCCATGAGATGGATATATGATACTTAGTAAAGCAGTCCACTATTGATAGACATTTGGCTACTATAAATAGTGTTGTAAACATCATCATGTGTATATTTCTGTGCACAGGTGTATTTATATAAGACAGATTCTGATTATCAGGATTTCTAGGTCAAAGATGTTTGCATTTTGATAAATTTAGCCAAATTGACCTTCTAACTAAGGTTATTCCATTTAAACTCCTACAAAGATATGAGAATACTTGTTTCCAATGCACTTTGGCAACTCTGCACATTATCTGTTGTATTTTTGCCCAGGTCATAGCCAAAATATGATAATCTAATTTTTTAAAAAGATTTTATTTATTTATTTTAGGGAGAGAGAGAGAACATGTACATACTCGCTCAAGAGCGGGGCGGGGAGGCAGAGTGGAAGGGAGAGGGACAAGCAGACTCTGTGCTGTGCTTGGAGCCCTACGTGGGGCTTGATCTCAGGATAGTGAGATCATGACTGAGCCGAAACCAAAAGTCAGATGTTCAACCGACTGAGCCAGGTGCCCCAGAAATCTAATTTTTAAGTTTATATTTTTCAGTTTACAGATTTCTTCATGTGTATGTTTGTCACTTGTATATCTCTTTCTCTGATTACCTAGTCGTATCTTTGACAATTTCCCCATTGAGTTGTCTTTTTTTAAAGGATTTTATTAAATTGTTGTATGATAAGGGTTAATTTTCGCCAGTTGTGGATGTAGCGATATCTTCTCCCAGTCTGCCTTTAACTTTGTTTAAGGTGTATTTTAACTTCTGGGAGTTCTGACTTTTATTTTCAGTCCTTTGGTAAAGGACTTCTGCATTTTATATCTTCCTTGGGAAGGAACTTCACTACTCCCACATATAAAGTCTCACAGCCCCCTCACGAAGCTAAATCAAGAGGCAGAACTTAATTGCATGTAGGGAAAGGAACATATATCATCACATTGAGTGGTTTAATGAGCGATGCTTTTGTTCTTTTTGTACAAAGTGATTTATGTATTTTTCCATTAGGTTATTATCTCCTTGTGTAATATCTGGATGATCAGCTTTATGCAATTGACTTATAGGCACAAGAGATATTTCGAAAATGCATTTCAGTTCAAGAAGAATGGAAACAATTTCACCATCTCTGTTACTGGGAGCTGATGTGGATTTATGTATTCCAACAAAACTGGATGGAGGCATATTATTATTCCGATCTGCTTTGCAAAGAAAGTAAATGGTCCAAGGTAAAGTGCTATGCTTTCATTACTGTTCTCTGTTTGCTAGTAAGTGTCCAGGATGATTTTTCTTTAAAATGTTGATGTAGTGTCAGAAGTATGACATCAACACTACTTTCTCAACTTAGGGATTCATCAAAGGAGGAAATAGGCATTAAGTACCTACTGCTTATAAGCACTGTCCTTAGCACTACATGCTTTAAAAGCCATCCAAACAGTGCTTTTTAGGGAAGAGGTTTTACCTCTAAGGATGAAATGCACTTACATTTAAAAGTTATTCAGTATCAACAGTCTTGATAATTTTTCTGTAGATTTTATGATGCCCTGATGACAAGGCTTTTCATAATAATTAAAATTAATTCTGATCTATTTGTGAGAAGTTGGGAGAAATGAGATGATTTCTTGTTCATTCTGTGTACCTTCTTGCCCATAAACACTACAGTTGTGTAATAGGAAAATAGTCAAAATTAACTGAAAAGTGTTATTCCGAATAGGAATAGGCAGTATAAGACTTCATTTCCTTTTATTTCTTTGATGCCTTTTAAATGTTACATCTGAACAGTTTGTAGGTCATTCCCGACTTGCAAGATAGAAATGTCATGTACCTAGAGATGCCCTATAACTAGCTGCTTCTCTCCTTTTCCTCAAGGCAACGTATGTGTTCCTGAAAGCTGCAATTTTGAGTATGCTTCCAGAGGAGGATGTAGTAACAACTAAAGAGGATATAGTAACTTTATTCAGGTAAGCAAGGCACTATTGCTATAACAAAGATCCTGGATACATCTTTCTTTTCTAAGTGTTCTCCCAGACTTTACCTTCATCTCTTCTTTAATTTCTATTCATTCAATGCAGGAACTCTTAAAAACCATATTCAGAGAAGGTCTGCCGTGAACAAATCTGTTTAACTTTGTTTAGATCCGTATCCATCCATCATCTGTAACCTTGTTTTTGAACACCTGCTGTGTGAAGGATACCATGTTAGGTGTTGAATAAACAGGCATGGCTCCTGTCCTTGTGGAGTTTATAATCTTGTAGTGGAACCAGACAGCAGTGAAATTATTACACAAATAATTGCAAAATTATAATACACGAGTAATTTTTTTCCTTACTACTTTTCTTGCCATTCCTTCTCAGTATCTTTGTAGGCTCATCCTGTTTTATCCAGGTTTTAAATGTTGATGTCTTAGAGCCTCAACCTTAGGAAATCTCAGCCAGGTGAAGTTTAAGTCCCTTGTTCAGACCTCCTCACTGAGCTCTCGACCCATATAGCCAGCTCCCATTTGTCACCTTTCCTTGCATATGTGAAACCATTTTATTTGTTTATTTATTTATTTAATTTATTTTTTAAAAGATTTTATTTATTTATTTGACAGAGAGAGAGACAGCAAGAGAGGGAACACAAGCAGGGGGAGTGGGAGAGGGAGAAGCAGGCTTCCTGCTGAGCAGGGAGCCCGATGCAGGGCTCGATCCCAGGACCCTGGGATCATGACCTGAGCTGAAGGCAGACGCTTAACGACTGAGCCATCCAGGCACCCCTTTTTAATTAATTAATTAATTTATAAAAGATTTTATTTATTTATTTATTTTAGAGGGGGTGGGGGAGGGGCAGAGGGTGAGGGAGAGAGTCCCAAGCAGATGTGGAGCTTGATCCCAGGACCATGAGATTATGACCTGAGCCAAAACCAAGAGTTGGATGCTTAACAAACTGCACCACCCAGGTGCCCCAAAAACATTTTAAACTTACCATGTTCAGTCTTCCTGAGCAAACCTGATATTCTTTCCTCTTTTGGTGATTGGGACCACAGTTAGCAAGCCAGAAACTGATAATACCCGCATTGCCAACACTACCCACTGTGCCCCCCAGTCCCCAATGGGAGGAAGGTTATGTATATGCACGTAGAGGCAGTAATGGTTGAGATGATATGTGAAGGTGGAGTAGGAGCTGAAAATTTGAGGCAGCAGGGAGTTGTAGGTGGTATAGTTTCAGACCAAGGAACAACATGTGAGATGAGCCTGTTGCAGGAAGGAGCACTGCACATTAAAGAACTAAAAGGTGATATTTGATAGGACACCATGCTACATTTAATGTACAGTTGACCCTTGAACAACATGAGTTTGAACTGTGTGGGTCCACTTACACGTGGATTTTCTCAATCAGTACAATACTGAAAATGTATTTTCTCATCCTTATGATTTTCTTAATAGCATTTTCTTTTCTTTAGCCTACTTTATTGTATTGTAAGAGTATGGTATTTAGTACATACAACATACAATATAAATGTTAATCAACCCTGTTTATGTTATCAGTAAGGCTTCTGGTCAACAGTAGGCTGTTAGCAGTTAAATTTGGGGGGAGTGAAAAGCTATATGTGGATTTTTAATTGTGGGGGGGTTGGTGCCTTTAATCCCCATGTTGTTCAAGGGTCAGCTGTTTATAGGTCAAAAGAAAAGAAAGGTCAAGGGTGACTCAAAATATGTCTCGGAGAACACAGTCTTCCATTTATAAATAAGACAGAGTGACAAGGATCATTGGTAACCCTAGCAGGGGCTGATAAGGTCATCGAGTAGAGGTGGGGGTCAGACTGGAGGTGGCTGAAGAAAAGAAATGCAGAGTTGAGCATAAATGCATCCCTGGATAATTCTGACTATGAAGGGGAAGGGAGAGAGAGAGTGGTAGTTGGAGGGAGATGTCATGTCAGAAACTGTTTTAATGGGAGAGTTGTGAGCATTCTCAAGAACCACTGGGAAGGATCCAGTTGAAGAAAAGTTACACATAGAAGCAAGAAATGGGATAATTGATATTTGTAAGTGTCTGGAAAGGGCAGGAGGAGTTAGAATCCAAAGCACTGATGGCACGGTTGGTTTTATCTAGGAGGATGACCAGGTCCTCTGTTGTATCAGAAGGGAAGAAGTCCAGAATAGGTGCAGAGGCAGGCAAGCTTATGAGTTGTAGTATGAGAGGGAGGGCTCTGCATCTGTGTTTTTCTTTGCAAAATAGGAGGCAGGGTCCTCTACTGAGAAGGAAAGAGAAGGGAGCGGGCTGCAGGTGTGAGGGGGGGATGGTGAATGTTTGAAATCATTGTTGCAGAGATTGGGATGGTGGAGTTATGAGAGAGACACTGTAGGAGGAATGGCTGGTAGCGCAAGCAAGGGCCCATTTGAGGTCGGTGCTGATTAATTTACAGTGATTTTACAGTCTGCTCACAGTGCAGGTGCAGGGAAAATGAACACTGAGCCTCATCCAGGGTTGGGTTTTTGCCAGATGAGCATAGTGACTAGGCAGTGGACGAGGGAGTTTAGGACTGAGGCTAGAGCGTGTAGCAGTAAAGGTCAGGGCCATCTAAGCAGGAATATGGAGGCGCAGTGAGAGAGAGGGAGATTGCAGGTAGGGAGAAGGTTGAAGGGCAAGTAGACTGACACAGTCTTACTAGAACAGCCAAGTAAGAATGAAGAGAATGGTATTCAGAGTGGTGTTGCTTGAATTTGTGCTTCGAGGTAGAAAAGTCACAGGTGCCGAAGTGTGGTCTAAGATAGGACTGCAGGGGCGGGAGGCTGTGGTAGAGGGGAGGAGCTGACCACGGGAGGTGAGGGAGTTCAGGAATGCAGAAGCTCTGCTACATTCTTCAAACATAATTAATGACAAAACCTTTTACAAGGAATCCTGCATTCGGTGCCCATGTTATGAGAAATCATATCTTAGCTAGACCCTCAAGACTTGTCAGGGCAAATCTGAAGATACGACCAAGACCACTTTTTTACCTTCTCTTTAAAAGCTCTTTTTGAAAAAAGGACCATGTTACTAACTATAGAAGCAACATCAGTGGAAGCCATGGTAGGATTCATGCCACATCTTACTGATAAAATGCATGTCATGTTTCACACGAACAATGGATGGAATGCAATGGAATATTAGAATATGTTGAAATCTTTTAAATCTCCCTCTGTTTCTTCCACTTTAGAGTAATTTTCTCCATATCAAAACAATTTCTGTGAAACATGTAACCAGTCCTATTTTCAGGAGAAAGCTTGAGGTCTGCTATATGACAGCATCTAATTTGTTGGGATAATGAGAGGAGAGTCGCCCAGACTCTGCAGTCTTCAAACCACACGATTTCCTGTCCAAAGCATGTTTTCTCTGATCCTCAACCCCCACTTCACATTTCCACTGCTTCTTCCACACCCCCTGCTTGTGCTCTCTCTCTTTCTGACAAGTAAATAAAATCTTAAAAAAAAAAAAGATTTATGTATTTATTTGAGAGACAGCGTGAGAGAGAGAGAGAGAGAGAGCGAGCACACACAAGCCAGGGAAGAGGCAGAGAGAGAGAGGGAGAAGCAGACTCCCCGCTTGAGCAGGGAGTCCAACGCGGGGCTCGATCCCAGGACCCTGGGATCATGGCCTGAGCTGAAGGCAGACGCTTAACCGACTGAACCACACAGGCGCCCTGAAAATTTGCGTTTAGAACACATCTCCAGATGCTGCTGCTGCTGCTGGAGCATGCTGGAGCACAGTGTGAAAACTGCAGGTATCAATTACATATGTGTTCTAATGACCTTTTGCTGGGGCTGGGGTTGGGCCTTTCACAGACAGGTGGATAGCTTGAAGCAGAGAATTGCGGGGAAATCTATCCCTACTGAGAAGTTTGCTGTAAGGAAGTCTCGTCGTTACTCTGCCTCGTTGCCTGCACCCGTGAAGCTCATCGTGCCTGCCCTGGTATCTGCCTTTATTTTTTACTGTTCGTGCTTTAGAAATTATCTATTCACAACAGCAGGAAGCACACCTGTGAAGTTTAGCTGTTTGCTGTGAAGTTTAGCTCAATTAAACGCCACTGTAAGGGTGTTTGTAAGGTGAACATTTATGAATTATTAATAATCATAAAAATTATAGCTAGTGTTTTTGACTACTTGGTATGTTCTAGGCATTACGATATTCAAAAAAATCTGTTGTCTAATATTTTTTGAAAGGCTATTTTAAAAAATACATAATTTAATTCTTACAGTAACTCTATGGGGGTACTTTCTCTCTGTAGCCCCATTTTACAGATAAGGAAATTCAGGCAGAGAGGTGAGTTGGCTTAATTAAAGTTGAGTTGGATTCTAATGCAAGCTACTTAGATGATTTTACCTTTTCTAGTAGCCACATTAAAAATTAAAATGTCAAAAAATGTAAAAAATTAAAGGAAACATGAAAATAATTTTAAGAATATATTTTGCTTAACCCAATATATGTAAAATGTTTGTTTGAACATGTAACCAGTAGAAACTTAATGAGATATTTCACATTCCTTTCTGTTGTACTAATTATTTGAAATCTAGTGTGTATTTTACTCTTAGAGCATATCTCAGTTTGCACTAGCCACATTTCCAGTCTCAAGTGCCCTAAGTGGCTGGTGGCTGCTGCATTCAACAGTGTGGTGCTGGAGCTTGCTTGCTTGCTTGCTTTCTTTCTTTCTTTTTCTTTCTTTCTTTCTTTCTTTCTTTTTCTTTCTTCTTTCTTTCTTTCTTTCGATTTATTTATTTAATAGAGAGCAGGAGGGGCAGAGGGAGAGGAAAGAGAAAATCTCAAGCCGACTCCATGCTCAGCGTAGAGCCCAACGCGGGGCTCAATCTCACGACCCTGAGATCTCACCTGAGCCAAAACCAAGAGTGGGCGCTTACCCGACTCCGCCACCCAGGTGCCCCTGGAGCTCACATTCTTAATCGTTATGCTGTTTAGAGTAGACTTCATGAAAAGCATAATTTCCACTTAAATTTTTTTTAATGAATACTTCTTTAAAAGAACTGAATATCTCAAATTATTCTGGCTCTTTGGGGCTTTAGTTTTGCATAGGTAGTCAGCACAGGAAAACCATTAAATGCAAGCTGAAGTCTGCAGTCCTCCTTTGGGGTTTCTTGATTTTTTTTTTTTTAATATTCCAGAGTTTATTCAGTGATTCCCCTTTGACAGTTTAGTTTCCAGTTTTTACTATTACTAACATGTTACAATGAATATTCTTTTATATTGTTTTTTTTTTTTTTTTGGTGCATGGTAATATAATTCTCTGGAAAGACTTCTAGAAATGGAATTCCTGGTTGAAGGGTATATACACTTATTATTTTGACGTTGCCAAATTGCCCTCCAGAAAGGCTCTACTGGTTTAAATGTCTACCAACAGTGTTTCACTGTTTTAATTTACATTTCCCTGTTGGTACGGTTGAGCATCTTTTCATGTGCTTATTATTTTTATTTCTTCTCTTGTGAATTGTTCATATACTAATGTAATTTTTCATTAGGTTGTTTATTGTTTTGTCATTGACTTGTAGGAGCTCTTTATATATTTTGTGAGAAAGAAAACTGCAGCCTCTAACAGGTGTCAGATAGGAGCTAACCTATACCTAGGTCCAGGTGTTCTCTACTTGAGATCAACAATCTCAGAGAGCACCACCATCAGAGCAGGTTATTCTGTGCCTGTGATGGGATGAGACAAAAGTAGCACTCTTGTCATCAAATATGAGCACAGGTAAAAACAGGACACCATGCAAATCACAAAAATGACCAAACATCCCCCTTTTCCAGCTAACATGGGAGCCTATTGCTGTTTCACCAATTACAGCTTTTAGATCTGTTCCTGATGATTGATTTCTATCAAGCGATTTGCACTGGGAAATTTTTTCTTTGTGTCACAGAACTTTCGTGAAAATTTTCTAAAGCATAATAGCCCTTTCTGTGCCCTAGAACTTAGATGCTGGTGTGTACATAACTATATCTTACTTTGATCAGTAAGGGTCTTCAGGAAGGGTAACTCAGGGCACTTCTTTCTACAGGCTTAAGGGTGTAGAATTGGTTTGAATTTGTGGTTAACTAGGAATTTCACCAAAATATTATTTTTCATAGAATCTCAGATGTGAGCTTGCCTTCTTCTGATAAAATAGTCTATCAATAAAAACAAAATTTAAAGATCATCAGTTAATTATTCCATTAATTATTGAATCGAGCTCATACACCACTAGCAATAAGAAACTGTTAGATGTAAAGAAAAAAAAAATTAGAGTGTTGTGATCTTCGTTTTCAGTGCCATAGAGTAGAGATGACTTTGCTGCCACTCGAATATATTTTCCTCATTTCCACTACTTCCCTGTAGGGAGCTGTTCAAACAATATCTTTACCATATTTTAAAATTCATTTATCTCGAAGAAGATACTAATTACCCTGCTTATTTCATACCCTTAAAAATATGAACTGTACTACCAGGAAAATTAGAAAAATATTTTCAAGCAAAAGCATATTTGCTTTTGGTCCAAAATATTTTTCATCTGTTAGCCTATGAGATTTAATTTGCAATGAGAAATCATTAGTTTACATTTTCAGGGGCTGTCATTCAGCCATATGGCCTTTAAGTGAATGCATTTCCTGCATGTTGATCACTGGACTGTCACATGTTTTTAATGGGATAAAAGAACCATTAAAATATTTTCTATGTTCATTTCCAGTGAAGTCCTTGGAACCATTTTATGTGAACAATTGGCAGATATTTTAAAAATGTTTCCCTTTACTTAAAAGTAACAACAAAACTTTGTATCGAATACAATTGTTCATAGTATCAGTTAAAAATATTCTACTTATTTTTGTGTTTGTAAACTGTTATCTTCCAAAAGGATGGAATACCGGTAGTAGATGCTTAAATGAATGAGTAAATTTTTCAGTAAAAATGTAATATACTGTATATATTGAATTACTTCATAGTATAAAAGGCAAAAGGCATATAATAAAATGAGAAAAGGGGAAATTATATTCACTACACTCCAAGTAAGGAAAGCTAAGGAAAGTGATCTCTGAATGTTGTCTTGAAATCCGTAGCAACCAAGAGAGTAGTTTCATTATTGTAAAGGACATTGGATAACCTCACATAATTGCAAATGGCTTTTCATTCTTCCTCATTAGGAGATGATGTATGTCTGGAATGGTTTTCCAATAGTGAGCAAGAGAAGAGACCTTTCCGAAAATCTGTTGGTCACTGTCGAAAAGGCTGAGGCTGCTTTACAAAATGAAAGTAAGTATGAAAAGTAAAAGCCTGGAAATCTTTTTTATTACCACTCTCCTGCCCTTTCCCTGTGCATATCTGCCCGTGTTCGTTTGTGTGCGTCACAAGGACAAAGCACTTGGGCCGCAAGGGTCTGGGTGATTGTAATCAGAGGAAGGGAGGAATGACACATGCTGCAATGTGGATGAGCCTTGGGGACACAAGGCTATGTGAAAGATGCCGGTTGCAGAAGACAGCATATTGCGTAGTTCCATTTATATGAGATATTGAGAATAGGTAAATCTATAAAGACTGAAAGTAGACTAGTGGTTTTATAACTAGGGATGGAGGAACTGGGGCGTGTGTGTGATAACTTTTAACGGGTATGGCATTTCTTTTTGGAGTGATGAAAATGTTCTAAGACCGTGGTATTGGCTGTACAGCTCTATAACATACTCAAAACCAGCAAATTCTGCACTTCCGGTGGGTGAATTGTATGGTATGTGAATTATATCTGAATAAGTTTGTCACTGAAAAAGATGAACAATCAGTCGAGTTTTAGAGTGCATTTCTTGTTTTTAGTTTGTGGCTCTTGCCATGGCTCCTTTTGCTCGGTAATGACTATTATGTTTTTGCAGACACAGAAGATTGTTTCCCAGTTGAAATTTTATCACAGTTTAATTTTTTTACTCATTACTGTTGGTTGTCCTAGAGGCCTCTCTCCAGTTGACTGGGAGCTCCGGTTCCTGGAAGCAGCTTATAGTAGAAGGAAAATCAGGCCATCTGGGCTTATAGTCCCGGCTCTGCAGCTCTAAGACTCTGGGAAACATGCCTCATCATTCTGGGCCTCTGGTTTCTTTTAAAATGGGATGATGACACCCAAAAATACACAGATAATCTCCAAAGTTTTCTTGCTCTGACATTGTCTACTTCTCTAGCTTAAATAGAGGATCTATCTTTTGGTAAATGATGCTATAAATGATAGCCTTTGTAATCCTTATCAACCTCCCAATCATTCAGGTCTTATCCTTTGGAATGTTCTAACCACGGAAGTAAAATGAAAACTTCATGGCGACAAACATGGCAAAGGGCACAGAAGTTCAGGAAAAGGCAGGGAAAATTATAACAGTTAACTCCTATTTCTTAACTGGAAAAAGATGGGCATTGATGGAGTGGCTAGCCCCATACTCAATATATTCTCCCCAAGGGAAATTAAATATTGAACATAGCTCCAGAGATGAGGACCTCATTTGGATCATTTTTGTATTTGGAGCTCTCAAATGTTAAATGAGATTCTTCTTTATAATTATTGTTAAAAAATTAAACACATAATTATGATTGATAGATGTAGGTGAAAAAAGTTACCCATATTTTTGCTACTATAACACAATTAATTTAGAATATTTGTTTGTTCCATCCCCTAGCCTTATTTTTATAGTTATAATCATAGTGTACCTGGACACATATTAGACTACTTTTTTTCACTTAATATATCAAACTTTTTTGAATTGAAGTATAATTGACATATAACATTATATTAGTTTCATGTGTATACCATAATGATTCAGTATTCGTGGACTCTCTAATGATCAGCACAATAAGTCTAGTTAACATACATTACTATACATTACAATTTTTTTTCTTGTGTTAGAACTTTTAAGATCTGCTGTCTTAGCAACTTTCAAATATGTAGCACAGTATTATTAACTATAGTCACCATGCTGTCCATTATATCCCCATGATTTATTTTATAGTGGGAAGCTTATACGTTTGACTCTCTTTACTCATTTCTCCCACCTCCCATGCCCCACCCCTGGCAACCACCAATTTATGAGATTGCTTTTTTGTTTTGTTTTGTTTGTTTTGGATTTCACATAAGTGAGATCATATGGTATTTGTCTTTCTCTGTCTGACTTATTTCATTACTTAGCATAATGCCCTCAAGGTCAATCCATGTTGTTGCAAAATGGCAAGATTTTATTTTTTTATGGCTGAATAATATTCCATGGTATGTATATACTACATTTTTTTTTTCCATTCATCCTCTATGGCTTCCATTTCTCGGCTGTTGTGAATAATCCTGTAATGAACATGAGGGTGCACATATCTTTTCGAGTTGGTGTTTTCATTTTCTTTGAATAAATACCTAGAAGTGGAATTGCTAGATCATATGGTAGTTCTATTTTTATCATAGACTTTTAAATTGTTGTTAAATGGCTCTTATAATAATTTCAAAAGCTTCACAGCACTCCATGGAGTTAATGTATCATAATTTAATCAACTCTTTCAATATTGTTGGGCATTTAGGCTGCTTTCCATATTTAAAATAATTCTAGTTTTAGATTGCCTTCAATAAGGAGAAGAAATATAAAAGAATGAAAGCTGAATCACTGGCCTTAATTGCTAATAAGGTCAAGGTTTCAGGCAGAATAGCTGAAGAAGTCAGTAGAACAAAAAGCAGTGATGTTCTGAGGCCACAGACCAGCACCCCTGCCCCCCAATTCTCCCAAATAACCATTCTGCGAATATAAACTGGTAATCACAGGGAGATCAGGTAAATGGAATATTCTACTTTACTATTAAAAAAAGTCACCTGCAAAGGTCCTCTATTGATGGAGGGTGAGTAATGTCAGTCTCCCATATTAAAGACAGCATTTTTATAAAAGAACTGTGGTTCCCTTTCTCTCCTTTTTCCTCCCCCTTACGGAAAAGTATTAAACTTCAGCCCCTGTGAGCTGGGGCTTAGGTAGAGCAGCCAAAATACTGAAGTATTTATCTTCATGGACTGATAATTCTCTGTGATATCTGGGCACCAGGGAAACAAGTGGATGAAAAGGCTCAGGAAACTGAAATCAAAAAGAGAAATCTAAAGTTTGTATTATTTAACAGAGAACCAAAGGAGTGTATGTATAAGAACAAACTTAACAGTCTCATTATATGGACATTTTAGACTTTCTTTGTATGTTCTAGGTGTTCCATTAGTAATATATTATCTACATGGTTTCTATATATAGAGTTTCATTAAGCTTCTTTACTATTCTTTTTACAATTATATCTTGTTAATTTTCAAAAATTATTTTATTTTATTTATTTTTATTTTTATCTCACGACCATGAGATCAAGACCTGAGCTGAGATCAAGAGTCAGATGCTTAACTACTGAGCCATCCAGGTGCCCCTCTTTTTAATTTTTAATTGTAGTACACAGAATTTACCATGTGCCCCATTTTTAACTGTACAGTTCAGTAATGTTATGTTCACATAGTTGTGCAACCAGTCTCCAGAACTTTTCCATACCCATTAAAAATAGCTCTCCATTTCCCTCTCCCACTGCCTCTGGCAACCACAGTTATACTTTTTGTTACTATGAATTTGACTACATTAGGTTGCTCATATGAGTGGAATCCTATGTTATTTGTCCTTTTAGGACTGGCTTATTTCACTTTGCATAGTGGCGCCTCAGAGAATGGGGTCCCTGGGTGGCTCAATTGGTTAAGTGTCTGCCTTTGGCTCAGGCCTTGATCCTGGGGTCCTGGGATCAAGCTCCCCACGTCGGGCTTTCTGCTCAGTGGGGAGTTTCCTTCTCCCTCTCCATCTGCCTCTCCCCCTGCTTGTGCTCTCCCTCTCTCTCTCTGTGTGTCAAATAAATAAAATCTTAAAAAAAAAAAATGGCCTCAGGGTATATCCATTTTGTAGCATGTGTGAGAATTTCCCTCTTTAAGGCTGCATAATATTCCATTGAATGTATATATCACATTTTGCTTTTCCATTTATCCACTGTTGCACATTGAGTTGCTTCCACTTTTTGGCTATTGCAAATAATACTTCTATGAACATAGGTATGTAAAAGTTTTTTGAGATTGTTTTCAGTTCTTTTATTTATTTTTAAAGATTTTACTTATTTATTTGAAAGAGAGAGAGAGAGAGGGAGTACAAGCGGCGGCGAGGGGTAGAGGGAGAAGCAGGCTACCCGCCGAGCAGGGAACCTGACGCAGGGCTCCATCCCAGGCCCCTGGGATCATGACCCGAGCCTAAGGCAGACGCTTAACTGACTGAGCCATCCAGGTGCCCCGCTTTCAGTTCTTTTAGATATATCCCCAGAAGTAGAATTGCTGGATCATGTGGCATTTCTATTTTAAATTTTTTGAGGAATTGTCATACTGTTTTCTGTAATGGCTGTACCATTTTACATTCCCTCCAGCAGTTCACAAGGTTCTAATTTCTCTGTATCCTCACCAGTATTTGTAATATCCTGGGTTTGTTTTTGTTTTTGTTTTGATACTAGCCATTCTAATGGATGCGAGATGATCTTTACTATTTTCCTTCAAAAAAGGAAAAAGATTTCAGTTTGATTTGAGTGTAAAGTCAACATGAAGTTACATCATTTTGAATTTTAGATGAAATGAAACTCCATGAAAGTTCATCTTAAAAAATGAGATTTCACAAAATGCACCTTTGTAAAATCCATTTGGGCTTTTAAACAAATTTTAGTGTTCATTTTTGTTCAATTAATTTGGCTACATTTTATTAACTTGCTCATTTGAACACTCTTAGATTTTCCATACTAGATACAGAATTGTGATAGGCTGAGAAAACACTCTTCCTGCCAGTAGAATTATCTATGATTAAAACCCACATATCCACAAACCAAATGGGAAAATGGATATGTTTTTAATAAGTAAGGATATGTAAAAACTGGGAGGTGAAGGAAAACCTCTTTTTTTTTAATGAAAACATTTGTAGAGTATTCCCCCCACCCCCAAAAAGTGGACCATCTTGTTCTTTGTGGTTTTTTTTTGTTTTGTTTTGGTTTTTTTTGTTTTTGACAGAGAGAGAGATGGCAAGAGCAGGAACACAAGCAGGGGGAGTGGGAGACGGAGAAGCAGGCTCCCCGCCAAGCAGGGAGCCCGATATGGGGCTCGATCCCAGGACTCTGGGATCATGACCTGAGCTGAAGGCAGACGCTTAACGACTGAACCACCCAGGCGCCCCTCTTTGTGTTTTTTCTACAAATGTAAGGGCTTTAGTTTAGTTGAATAAATTCTGACATTTGAATGTCTATCCTTTGCAGTATAGACTAATATTTACCACCAGAGAGTGGGGCCTTTGTATATTAAGAAGTCCTGAGGGACCATTGGATCCCTCTATTTGAGCAGGATCTTCAGCCTTTACCTCAAAGTTTATTTTGTTCCATTATTGGTTGGGGGGAAAATGTAAAGCAGTTATATATGTATCAGAGTAAGTATGTACAGTGCAATAGAGGCTTGAAAAACCAGACTGCTCTCTCCATTCATTCCTTGTTCTTTTAATGATCTATTGAGATGATAGGCTTAGAGATGTTTAAGGAGGGCTGGGAAAAGCTTAGACAGACAGATGCACTGTGCTTTGTACAATTCTGTTTTTGTATGTGTTCCCTCTGGGTAAAATAATAATAATAATAAAATTTTCTTTCCTAAAGCTTTTGTACACAAAATTTATGATAATCTCTTCCAGGTCCATTATTTTATGCAGGAAAATTACCAGAGTTCCATCTCTGCTCCCTCGCTCCGCTCAGTAATGACCTTTTAGTAATCAAGCTCTTATCTTTCAGAGCAAGGGGAAAAAAAAAAATCCAAAACTGAAAAAATGAAGTGAAGTTGTAAACCCGAGGTGACTCCAGCCTCCACCACCTTTCTCCCCAGTATTGGGAATTGAATGTGTTTTTGCTTTTCCCCTTGGCAAGTGTCTCTAAAGTAAAAGAGGGTGGAAGATACAATTGGTGTTTTACTCTGACAATGTGATTATGAAAGGCCCGTTCGGGATACAAAGGGAAGGATACAGTTTAATAAGTGAAGAACACTCGGTGTAATATGCCTGGAGTCAGTGTCTGCCACTAATTCCATTAGTATTCCATTTGAACTCTAACTAAACTCAACATGGAGCCAGAAGCTGGTACAGTAGTTCTTCTCTGACTCTCTGTTGCAGTTAATTTGCTTTGTGAAATTATGTAGCAAACATAATCAGGGTTACATAAAAGGGAAAATGCTACTTTACGGGCTTTTCACTTTCTAAATCTGTTTCTGAATTTTTCCTTTGGTGCATTTCAGCTAGTTTCTAAAAAGTTCAATGTGGATATTTTTGTAGTTTGGGCTTCAAACTTTCTTTTTCCTCAGCCTACCCTCTGTTTTAGTAAGTTAAGCAGATCTTTTGTGATGGAAATGTGCTTTGGCAGCATTGTTTTATAATTTTCTTGGAATGTAAAATGGAAATTTTGTGTTGAAACGTTCATCTGTGAACTCACCCAGGAGGTTGAGAATCATGATAAAGCATTCAGATTTTAAGGGAAAATAATCATCTGACAGAGAGTACTCTGTGGTCTGAGGAAATAATGGTTTTGCTAAGGTTTGGAGGAAGGTGGTATCTTCGGACCCATTTTCCATGTCCTTAACTTGTGATCTAATAAAAGCTAAGGGCGGCTTTAGTGGTACTTTAATTTGAATTTTCCATAGTGTTATGTCTGTTCCTCAGCAAAATCATCATGCCCTGAGCACCAGAATTTTTTTTTTTGAGCACCAGAATTTTATGCTAAGACAAACTGTCATAAAATGCTAATACAGAACTCAGTAGAATGCACAAAAATGATACTAAAAACTAGCATCCAGTTTGGACCCTAAGGGTTTTGTTCTAGGCCTGGAAAGATATTGCTTCTTATATATGTATTTCAGTGAGCATCCATGATTAGAAACATGTAGATATGTTTGTGTGTGTGTTTGTGGCCGAGGGGGTGTGGGGGAGCTGAAAAATGGTCCTTAAGTAATAGGAATATCAACTTGATCTTGATATCTGTGATTCTTCTTGGTGAATGAACTATCAGAGCTTGGAAGTGAGAGGTGAATATCAGCTGTTTTTAGCGCCTAGACGTAAAGTGACCCCCTTCCAGTTGGTTAAGTAGCATCATTAACCTCCCATAAACAAGCAGTTTACTAACTCAAAACACCAGCATGTGTTAATGGTGATTTCTGAGGTTTGTACTGAAAGCAGGGGAATCTCAACATGAGGACTCCCAGGCCTCAGTGGTTTGGTTTACTGCCCATCCCACCCCCTGTATTGTCACAGCCTGACATGTATAAATTATCAGTCTGTCTTGGGGGTGACTAAGTTGCAGTCACTTGAGAAAGCTCCCCAGTTCAAAAGTGTTAGATGTGAAATGTCTACCTTTGTCAGGTTGGTGTCACACGGGATATGGTTCCTTTTGTTTAATATTCTACAGCCTCGGGCTGTAGAAGGCAAAGAGTCATTTTCAAAAGGGAAAATGTGGTGAAAGAAAACCCTTTACATTAGCCTCGAGCACTTGCAAGTTTGTGAGGGTTTTAGGTACTTTGCATGTACTTGGGAACCATTTTGTCTAATTTTATGACAGAATTTCCCCCCAAAAGAACAAAACCTGGGAGAATTGGTAAGTTGTAAACAGAATGGTCTGGAGAGGGTATTCTACTTCCTGAATTTTTAATGGGTAGGAAGCCATCTGCTTCTCCATATGGAAGTGTTATCCTCCCCTGCATGAAGCCAGCACTGTTAGAGATCAGAGCCACAGGGGGAGGCAGCCTTCTTGCTCCTCACTGCTTTACCTTTTATAGAATTAATACAGCTCTTACTTTATTTAGAGTTCAGATTTCCTATTGTTACAGGTAAGGCCACCTAACTCAGAGAATGAGCACTGAGCACCTGAAGAAAGATTTTCAAGTTTTATTTCAATAAAATGGTGTATTAAGGTAGTAAGCTGCCTCTTCTTTTCATTTAAAATATTTTCATTGTGCTTTATTAAGTGAAGCATAACAAACGCTAGAAATTTTTTCCTTACTTTTCAGTGATTCCCCCCCGAAACCTCGTAGCTATTGGTTCTCCCTCTTCCTTGGGGTTTTATCTATTTACTTATTTATTTAATTTTATTTTTTATTTTTCCTTGGGATGTTAAAAAGTGGTTTTCCTTTTGTGTGTGCTTTCTGTTTGTTTGGCTTTAGACGTAAGTGACTACTCTGTGGACGACGAGTGCCTGGTGAAGCTGCTGAAGGGCTGTTGCCTGAAGAACCTACAGCGACCCCTGCAGGCCGAACTGTGCTTCAATCACGTCATCCAAAGGTACAGACAAACCGGGAGGCCGAGTGGAGCGCAGACTGCGGTTTCCGGTTTCCAGGGAATTGCTGGGAGAGAGTGACGTGCTCTCCCAACGCGACTGTTCGCTGTTACCAGGAAGAGAATCCAGTAGTGCTCTCTTTGTCCTTTGAGAGCGGACTTGGAGCCTAAGTAGAACATGGCTTTATGCATTTCTACTTGGTGTTGAAGGGGAACACTAAGTTCCATGAAAACTAAACACTAGTTTGGGTAAGAATGTCGGAGGACTGATGAGGACTGGTGTCCTTATAAAGTGGAAAGGGACCATGTCTATTTCCCAAATAAGTAATCTACTGTTTTTAGTAAACATGTTAAAGAAGTAGCCATTGATAAAAAAAAAAATAATAATTAAAAAAAAAGTATCCATTGAATTCAATTTTACTGGTATTTCTGGAAGGATCAAAAGGATGACCCATTTGAGCTATGTGTTACGTTTATCGAATCTACAGTGAATTGTTTGTTCATGTGTTTTGTAATTTTGGATCGTGAGCTCCTCTTCAGTGGGGTTTTATCTTGAGACACCTATTAGGCTAGGATGGAAGAAGAGTCTCTAAAGTGATTTTGATTTTATTTCTGCCAGGTGCCCCCAAAACTTTTTCAGCCCAGGCCCACTTTCATGTTAATGTCATTGCCTAGAGGTTCTTGGATCCTTTGGGCCACGTAAACTTGAATTGCAGATTCATGTGAGGACAAGCCTATTGGTTATTAATTTCCCATGGAATGTGTTTTTTCCTTCCAACCTGGATGCAGGCTGAGGAACCAAGTGCCCTTGGCTTCCTCCTATGCCAGGGAGTGGGTTTTTGCAATCTGCCCTTTCTCTGATGGAGAATGGCCCCAGCTTTATATAGAGGTCTCAGACTCTGCTCTTCTGTGGACTCAAGGCCTCATCTGCATGGACGCTGAGATATAAAGCCCTGGTTGATTAAGGCCGAAACAGATCCCAGGACTACTTTGACATCATCCACACACTTAAGAGTTCTGGCTTTGTTTTGTTTTCAGTTTGAGAGTTTTTCTTATGTTCTTGTGAGCTTAGTTATGCATTTGGAAGGGCATCGCTTATATATATATTTTTTATTGCTTCTTGATGTTTTATGGTCAGATTTCATAATATTGCTGAAAACAGAAGTGTCGACCACTTATTTATTGACTTTTTTTTAGCCTTATAAGACTTAACAATATAAGGTAATACAGTGTTTTTATTTCTTAGCCTTATGAGACTTAACAATATAAAGTAATACAGTGTTCTTATTTCTAAATGGAGTCATTTCCTGAACACATTCGTTTTTTCGGAGGATGACTTTGTCCTTCCCAGGGTTAATCTTTGAAGATCTGCATGCATTCATCTTCCTAAGGGTCGTAAACAATGCTCAGTACTGGATTTAGATTAAAGAATAAAATAAAAGATGAATATATTCAAAACAAACTATTTATTGCCATTGGTTATTAGATTCCTTGATTGTATAATGACAGTTCTCTCTGGTAATAGGCTTAGTGCTGCACCTGTTTTCTGAGGAATGGGGAAAGTACATACATTGAAAAAGAATGATTTGTTTCTTGTTCTGTTGAGACTTAATCGCTTTTCTGTCACTCTTTTAGTGAAAAGCTACTGAAGTATGATCACTATCTAGTGCCATTTACTCTGTTTGAGTTGGCCTTTTTGTACAAAAGCCAAGGGGAAATTGACAAGGCCATAAAGACCCTAGAAACTGCAAGGTAAGTGACGATGGCAGCTTTTCCTGCTTGGTATGGAGTCAGGAACATCAACACCAGTGTAACCACAGCAATAATATTATATACTTAGAAGTTAAAACATGAATGAAAATGAGTAATAATGTTATTATGCTCATGACTTCTGCTGTAGTTGTGCTATTTCCAACCTTTTTAATGCCTGGCCCTATGACTGTTTACAAGTGTTGTGATTGTGGGCATCTCTATGCGAGACTTCTAACCTATTCTCTTCTGGATTGGGGTTGGCAGATGTTTTCTGTAAAGGGCCAGATAGTAAGTGTATTTGGTTTTACAGTATAAGGTCTCATTGCAACTTCTAATTGTATTGAAGCAGCCACAGAAGACAGCTTGTAAATAAATGGGTATATCTGGATTTGGCCATTATTTGGGTCATAGTTTGCTGACCCTTGGTGTCTTCAACCATATCTCTCATTTCCCTGAAGAGCCGCTGATTGGAAGAAGCCCTCTGTATCTTTCCCTGGCTCTCTTTTCTTTCTGTCTACTGTGATAATTTCAAAGCATTTTCATTTCCTCTAGACAATGGCTCTCAGACTTGTGATCACAAGCTCACTTAAAACCCTATGGTCTGTTTGCCTTGAATACTTCTTACAGCGGAGAAAGAATGACATAATAGCTTTAAGCCATAAATAGCTTAGTGATTCATTGGTTTGTTCATTTACTCAAATTCAGCGAGTATTCACTGAGCACTTATTATGTGCCAGACACTAGTAAAGACTCTAGACAGACATCTCTACATAAACAGGCAACGTTTCCTCTTGCTTAGTTAGAGGGAGATGTTGAATAAGCCAACAAGTAGGAAAACCAGCAATGGTATATGCTTTGCTGAGATTTATAGTATGATACGGAGTCCCTGGGTATTACCTTAAATTGAGTTGAGTCTGGAAGGTTTCCTTGAGGAGATGATATTGTAGTTGAGATTTGCATATTTAAAGCCAGTCTTGAGAAGATCAGTCACCAAAAGACTGGGTGGGGAGCATTCCTGGCTGAAGCCACAGCTAGGAAACCTCTAAACTGGGCGGTTGAGCCACTAGATAGTACATGATGCTCTTTACTGAAATGGGGTATGCTTAGAAGAGCAGGTTCCAGGAAAGGAGAAAACATACTTCTGTTTAGGGCCATGGGATTTTGAGGTGCTTGTTGGGTGTCCACGTGGAGAGGGACAAAATATACAAGCATGGAGTTCAGTGGAAACATCAAAGCTGAATGTAGAGATTTCAAAGTCACCTGCACAGAGACAGTGATATTTAAAGCCATGATACTTGAAGTGATTCTGGGAAAATAATACAACTAGAGAAAGAGGTTCAGCACAGAGCCTTGGGATATTTCATCATTTTAGACATGAAACAATAAGATTAAGAAGAAGTGGTCGGTGAGTTAGGAAGACATCCGGGAAAGCCAAGTGAACAAAGTGTTTCAAAGAGAAGCAAGTGGTCATTTGTGAGGATGGCTACTGAGAGGTCAAGCAAGGTGAGTCCGGAGAAGTGGCTGCTGAACCTGGCAGCATGAAGGTTATCAGTGACTTCGACCTGTGAGGGGAGAAAATGGAGTCAGCTACTTCAGGCAACGTTTCAAGATGTTTTGCTGTGAATAAAGCCTAGTAATGGGAAAGAAGCTTCGGGGGCATCACAGAACCGAGAGAGGGTGCTGCTGCTGCTAATTTTTTTAAAGGGTGATATTAGGGGCGCCTGGGGGACTCAGTGAGTTGGGCGTCTGCCTTCGGCTCAGGTCGTGATCCCGGGGTCCTGGGATCGAGCCCCGCATCGGGCTCCCTGCTCCGCGGGGAGCCTGCTTCTCCCTCTCCCTCTGCTGTCCTCCCTGCTTGTGCGCTCTCTCTCTCCAAATAAATAAAAATCTTTAAAGAAAATAAAGGGTGATATCAGAGGGAGTCACTTTTAAAGCTAATTTTGTTGAGAGTGAGAATGACTCGTATTTCAGCTGACATGTATGTATCTTCAAATCTAGCTATTGGAAAATTAGGGACTCCCATTACTGTTGTTTGCAGTATTTATTGTTTGGACCTACTTGGTGCTATCTAAGCAATGCGCAATAAGACAAATTTATAATGATGAGAATAAAAGATTGGTAATTCACTACGAAAAAGACCACCAGTGATCAAAAGTCACCACTAACTTAAGCCAGTGCTAATGAAGCCACCATAAACAGACTTCCCAGTAATTTCAAGACTTTCAATTGTCTACATTTTCCCTTATTCTGTTGGAGCTTCTCAAAGTTGCCAAAATTAGTGGCCAGGCATTTAGGAAAATACTCAGTTACATCCTCTGGTAACCTGTATTGTGAATATTAACCCTTATCAAGGTTACCAGTGAGTAGCTCTTAGCCCTCTCTAAAATGAAGGGCTGTAGAAGGACAGTATTGCCATGCAAAGGAGTTACAGTTCACCCACGGGCCAAGGTGGTGTGTGAAAGCAGGAGCCCAAAGTCAAAGTCATTCCACTGTGCCGATTCTTAACAATTCTAGCAGACAGAAGTGAACATGGATGAGCTAAGTAAACATTTCAACTAATCTGCGGATTTCTATGGCCCCTTCTGACATTGTCCCATAACTATTGGCCAAACGATTGATATTTGCCTGTGAGAATTGGAGTAAGTAATTTTGGTGTCACCACATAATCCTCATTTCTTTGTTGTAGTTGTTTCATGATGGTTTCAGCATGATTTCTCTTGGGGGGGCGGTTGATAATGTTCAGCATGATTTCTCTGGGGGGGTGATTGATAATGTTCACGTGAAGCTGCCTTAAAATTCCTGGTTTAGAGAAGGAAGTCAACTATTTAAGAATAGTTCACAAAATTTGTTAAACCCTCTTCATAAGCTTCTGGCTGTGTTTGTGCATGGCTTGGTCATTAAATAGGAACTTGCTACTCAAAGTATGACGTTCAGATCACTGCCAGGAAGCTTCTAGAAATAGGGAATATTGCCATCCTCCTTAGCTCACAGGATCGGAATCTACATTTTAACAAGATCTGCTGTTAATGCATATTCACGTTTGGAAGCAAATAAGGAATGAAGATGAGAAGAAGGGGAGGTGGTGGTGTTGCTCTTGGATACAAAGGGATTTTGACATTACAATTTCATTGTTATTTTCTTTAGAAACAACTACAAAGATTACTCCATGGAGTCCAGGCTACACTTCCGAATTCAGGCAGCTCTTCACCTCTGGAAAAAAACTTCCTCCGATTGATCAGAACATGAAGGATGGAGTTTCCCCTCAGCACTGACATCTGCTCTAGATTAGACGTTGTATTAAAATGGAAAAGTGATCTTGTGAATGAGAGACAAAAAACTAATTTTATTGTCAATATTTTTTATCATCTGTGTGGTTTACTGTTGGTCTGCGTTAATGTTTTTTTTTTTCCTATGAAACGATGTTCAATGTTCAGTACTGTCTAGAAAATTCTTATATTTTGCCTCTCCAAAAAGAATTTCCTATTAGATTTGAATTGGAGAGTGAAGAAGTCTTTTAAAGGACTCACAGGTACAATAAAGTCTGATTAGATTATTTTTTTAATGTGGAAATTTATGTTTAAGTAGCAAAGGGCTGATAAGTTGAGCCATTTTTAGATTTGTTGGTCAGAGATATTTTGTTGCCTAGTATTTAAATTTAAGAGGGGGAATAAAAATCACCTACATTCAAAATAGATTAACAATAACCTGAAGTCTCCTGAACAAGACAGGCAGTGGGTGTGAATAGAGACAGGGTAGTGTCCTTAGTGGGTTGAAGGGAACTGTACCTAGAAAAGATGGTGAAATATTAGGTTTTGGGTTTTTTTTATTCTTCATGTAAGTTAAAGGTGGTGACATTTTTCAGTGACTATCCTTTTTTTGAATGTACTTAAGTCTATTATAATAACAAAATTCAAAAAAATTGTCTAAAGGGAAGAAAAAGTCATGTTTTAGAAATTATCCTCAATCTTAGCCATGAGAGTCTAAAATACATACGTTGATTATTTTTTCTATAGGAAGCAAAGTTCCTGCTGCTTTAAATGGTATGTAAAATATCAATAATTTTTATACTCATGATGTTGGTGAGTAAGATCTAATTTTCTAATCTATCTAGCACTGTGATGGTTCCTTGTAAATATCTGGACCACGCTTCATCCTTTATCTGGGAAACACAATCAGGGCAGAATGCGGGGGAGAGCCTGGCTCTGCTACTGCTTAGCAGTCACTGGGGTGACCTTTAGGGAGCCCCCTGCTCTCTGCATCAGCATATTTTCCTCATCTGTGAAATGGAAAAAGAACAGATGAATTTTCGAGGTCTCTTTTGGTTTTATAACTGTGAGTCTGTGTATTAGGCATTTTCAGCAAACAGTGTCAAACTGTTTAACTCAAACTGTTACCACAAAGTGCGTGTCTTATTCTACGGTCATCTCTGTCTACCCCCACCCCCCACCCCATATGTTGGGGTTAATGACAGGATTGCATCCAGGGCGAGGAAAAATAATTCATGGATCCACAAATCAGGGTGTGGTCCTATTTCTGTTCTATTTTGAAGAGTAACTTATCATGGAAACCTCTGTAGTTTAACAGAACATCCCCAGATTGGGATCTGGAGCCCACCTATGCTAGTCAGTAGTTCTTGACGTGGATGGAGTAAGTCCTTCATTCTTTCTGTGACTCCATTTCCCCGGGGTCGGGGGTGAGGGGGAAGGCAACACAACTGCTTGGTGCTCGTGGCGGCTCAATTAGATGATGCCTATGATAGCTTTTGGTAAACTGTGAAAGTCTATATGAATATATGAGTTGCCATAATAATTATGGTTTTTATGCACTGATTACAATACCAACACAAAAATATTGGCTGAGTTTGTGGCCTCTGCTGTAAAATGAAGGACGTGCAGAAATTCAAACACCTTTAAACTTATTCATGTGTTTGTCACGGACAATAACCCAGATTATGAATTTGCTCCTTGCTGTTCATTCCCTGCTACGTGAGTCTGTACCCAGCAGGTATTTTGGTCTTGTTTTCTTTAAGGTGCTAATTCTTGACCAATACTGAAGATATGTTTCCAGTGGAAGATGATTAATACAACTTGAGTCAGAGAACTAGCCCTTCAGAGAGCATGGTGGGAGCTCTCACTATGTGCTATTAATATGAATTACGTAGCTTCATTTTAGGTCCAGGCGAGAGGAAATAAAATGAACTGTTATTACAATATCAGCAGTGGAAATATGTTTAATAATTATTTTATATACAACTTGAGAAATAGTTTATAAATTCCATAGAAGAGCTTTGGTAGCATTACTTTTTTAAAGTATAAATACACCCACAATGTTTTTGTGAGAAGCTGTAGGTCAGAGCGAAAGTCAGTAAAAACTTATCTTTCTGGTATAATTTCAAAACTATATGAGCTATTGTGGTTATTTTTATTTTATTTTAACTCTGCATTACCAAACAAATATAAAAGAAATTCCTATATCTCATTAAAATTTGCCTTTTATTTTTTCTTCTATTGTTTTTGTTTTTACTTCCTATTCTTCTTATTTAAGTTCAATTAACCAACATATAGAACATCATTAGCTTCAGATGTAGTTCAGTAATTTATCAGTTGCATATAACACCCAGTGCTCATCACCTTAATGCCCATCACCCAGTTACCCCATCCCCTCACCTACCTCCCCTCCGGCAACCCTCAGTTTCTTTCCCATAGTTAAGAGTCTCTCATGGTTTGTCTCCCTCTCTGATTTCTTCCGATTCAGTTTTCCCTCCCTTCCCCTATGATCCTCTGCGCTGTTTCTTTCATTCCTCATGTGAGTGAAACCATACGATAATTGTCTTTCTTTGATTGTCCTATTCTTTTTATAGTTACCTGATAATATGGATAGTCTATCCATTGACTGTTTACTTGTTGTAATATCATAAACACTACAAATATTTATCTGTTTCCTGGCCTGTTCCTGATACCCTGGTGGCACCAGTTCCATGTGGCATCAGCTAATACTGCATTTTTGGAGTTACTTTGGATTCAGGGTGCTTTGTGAAGAACGAGTGCTGAAGTGACAATATTTTATCTAATGTTTGGAGGGGCATATGTGATGGGTTTGGGCTGCCAATGTGTCTGACAGTTTGTGCAATTTGTATAGTTTTTGGTATAATTTTCTTTCTTTCTTTTAAATGGAGAGCCAGGGTTTTGATTAGTGCTGTATAAATTTTAAGACTGAAGCAGAGGTTCTGCTTTGTAGGATCAGTGACAAGAAGGGCATTATTGATAATTAATGGAAGATTAACTACATCAACTCCTATATGGACATATATTTGAATGTTTCTGTGCTTCTCCTGGATACAAGAAAGTCTCAAGTTACATAGGAAAAGGAAGTTCATTGATTCTGTTTCCTCTACAAGTGGGTAGAAGCTGTAGGGAAGTGAACTTCAAATTAATCAGTGTCAAGGAAGATTTTTAATCATTGAAGCAATCTAACAGTATAACTATGTCTTTGGCAAAGTAGGCAGGTTAGCAGAGCTATGTGACTGTCATTCCTACCTGGCCTGGGAACTTAGAGTTGAACTTTGAGGTCACTCTATGAGTCTTTGATAAGGGCTTCAAATCAGTGGGATGTGTGTAAAGAAGAAGGTTTCCCCCCTTTTGAAGACAAGTGAGTATTTCTTCTTTTGACACTACTGTAAACACAGTTACATTGTGATGAGGCACTAATAGTCCCTATGGTCGTTATGATTCTACTTCTCATCCTTCCTTTAAAGTGACTGAAAATAATAATTGAAAAAGTCTTTATGACTAACTGGAAAAATTTTTGGAATTACTCTGATTAATTCTTCATTGACTTTTCTTTTTACATATTTCTGTTTTTCTCTTATTTTCTCCATCTTTATAAATCATAAATTCAAATGCATTTAGTTAAAATGAGTTAACGAAGATTCTAGTGATTGTCTAGATGCCCTAAGATTTTGTGATTCATAGGGCCTGGAATGGGTCTTGGGAAATTATCTCCTTCCCTCTGCCCATCCCCCCAGCCTCTGGATGGTGTTGTTTCCCCTCAGTCCTACTCTGTCCACTCTGGTGGCCACTGGCCCCATGGGACTCTTGAGCCCTTGAAACAAGGCCAGTGGCCTGTGTTGGAATGGTGCCAAGTGTCAGGGAGTGCTTATTTATATGTGCTGCAGTTCTGTTTAAAGAAAAGGCCTCCCAAAAGCATGCTTCCTGGAGTTTTGGCTTTTACTTGCTATCTACTATGATCACCCAATCACCATAGGTGTATTTTCAATTCTGGTTCAAATATGTATCTGTGAGGTTTGCTTTTTCTGAAGTTCAAGTGCCCATGAACTTTCATTTCATCACTTTATTCTGCAGATGATCAAGGTCATCTTTGATCCTTCTCCACTCTCCCAGAGCTCCTCAAATATTAGACTGAGACTTATTTTTAACATTATTATTTTAATCTGATTTTACAAACATTCCTCGTTTTTTCAGATGCAACAGCACAAGCTATTAGAGTTGTAGAGTGACTCACCTTTGAGATATTAGTAGGTTTTATGATTAAAATAATATATATATGTATTTTTTTTCCTTTAAGTAGGCTCCACGCCCTGTGTGGGGCCCAATGTGGGGCTTGAACTCATGACCCTGAGATCAAGACCTGAGCTGAAATCAAGAGCTGGATGCTTAATTGACTGAGCCACCTAGGCACCCCTAAAATAATATTTTCTGAGATTAACATTATTCTGAAGAATTTGGTGTCCAATATTGAAACATTATTAATGTTTCAACATTGACTCAGCTATGCCAATGTGACTATTTAAGGAATATTAGGCCTTCAAATTGAGGCCTAATAGTTACCCACCTATAATTTGGCAGATAGTTTATTTAAAGTTATATATTTTAAGCCTTTTGGTGCCTATTATTAATATTTTTATTGCATATGATATACTTAAGTGATATGTATTCATGTAATTGACATATTTTTAATCTCTGTAGACATGTCTAGATCAGATAGGTAGGTAGATAGAAAACAGCTTATAAATATGAAATGGACAATGTTTTTTCCTGCTCTTTCAGAAAGAGTGGTGGATTTTCTCCAGATTGTCTCCCCTCCTGCAGACCAGTTATTTATATATTTTTCTTTATGTATTTGATTGCTTGTTTGAAACCCTGTTCCTACTTCCCATTGTTGGTAGCTTTGTCTTTTTTATATCTGCTTTTAGATTTCGTTACTTCAGATTGTTGAACTTGAAATGTAAGGAAGGACATATCGGAATTTATCATGAGGGAGAATACCTTCTCTGTTGAGCAGTTGCTATTTGATTTTGATGGCGTGGAAT